TTTAGTAGAAAGAAGCGGGGGTCTCGCTTTTGCTCAGGCTGGTCTCGAACTCCTAACCTCGAGCAATCCTCCCACCTTGGTCTCCCAAAGTGCTAGGATTACAGGCGTGAGCCACCATGCCCGGCCTACAAGTTTTGATCATAGTGTTTTATAAATGTCAATTAGATCAATGTGGTTTATATTGTAATTCAGATATTCTATATCCTTACTGAAATTTTTGTTTAGTTCTTCTATTAAAGTTACTGAATGAAGGATGTTTAAAATCTCCAACTATGATCTGTTTCTTCTTTTAGTTCTGTTAATTTTTGCTTTTTGTATTTTGAAGCTGTATTACCAGGTGCATATAATGACTATGCCATCCTGATAAATTGATAAGTTCATCATGATGAAATTTTATCTCTTGTCTATGTCTCTAGTATCTCTACTAACATTCCTTATCTTGATATCTATTTTTTCTTATTATTATAGCCACTCCAGATTTCTTAAGGTTAGAGTTTGCATGATGTATTTTTTTCCATCGTACTACTTTCAACCTATGTGTGTCTTTATTTTTAAATAGGATTTCTTTTAGGGAGCATATAATGGGATCTTGTTTGTTATACAAGCTGATCATTTCACCGTTTCTGCCTTTCTACTCAGCGTTTAGTTCATTTACATTTAATATAATTATTACTATATCTGGATTTAGGAAAGCCATTTTTCCATTTGCTTTCGATCTTGTTTCTCTGTTCTTCATTTCTTGCCTTCTTGGGGGATAATTAAATATGTTTAGGAGGATTTCATTTGATTTTAGTTTTTTAACTATACCTTTTTGTATTTTTTTCTTAGTGATTGCTTTAGAGGTTACAATATGCATCATTAATGTATCACAATTTATGTAGAGTTAATATGTTACTACTTTATGTAAAAGACAAGAATCTTGCATGTATAATTCAATTTACTCCATCCTTTATGCTATTATTATCATATAGATCACACCTATTATATATATGTTATATGCCCCACAATGGAGTTAGTTATAAAGTTTTTGTTAAATATATGTATATGTATTTTTTAAAAAATTAACAGAAGAAAATAAAGGATACAGTCTTTTAAAATTATCTGAATATTTATCATTTCCAGTGATCTTTACTCCTTCTAATGGATCCAAGTTTACCGTCTGGTATTTTCCTTTATCCTGAAGAACTTTCTTTAGCACTTCTTATAATGTAGGCAGCAAAATTTATCAGGTTTTGTTTATCTGAAAATGTCTTTATTTCACTTTCATTTTTAAAAAGACAGTGTTGTTGGATATGCAATTCTGGGTTGACAGGGTTTTTCCCAGCATGTTAAGGATGCTGTTCCATTGTCTGCTGGTCGCCATTGTTACTGATGAGAAGTCAGTTGTCGTCTGTGGTGTCTTCCTTTTGAATATAACATGGTTTTTCTCTATTTTCAATATTTTCTCTTTATTTCTTTTATTTTTATTTATTTATTTTTCTTTTTTATGAGACAGAGTCTCACTTTGTTGCCCAGGCTCGAGTGAATGCCGTGGCATAAGCCTGGCTCACAGCAACCTCAAACTCCTGGGCTCAAGCAATCCTGCTGCCTCAGCCTCCCAAGTAGCTGGGACTGCAGGCATGCGCCACCATACCCGGCTAATTTTTTCTATATATATTAGTTGGCCAATTAATTTCTTTCTATTTATAGTAGAGACGGGGTCTCGCTCTTGCTCAAGCTGGTTTTGAACTCCTGACCTTGAGCAATCTGCCTGCCTCGGCCTCCCAGAGTGCTAGGATTACAGGCGTGAACCACCGCACCCGGCCTATTTCTTTTATTTTAGCAATTTAACCATGACATACCTAAGTTGGTTTTCTTTGTATTTATCCTTTTTTGGGTTCGTTGAGTTTCTTGGACCTCTAAGTTGATATCTTTCTCCAAATTTAAGTATTCACCATTCTTTAATATTTTTGTCTCTTTCATTCTCTCCTTTTCTTCTGGAACTGCAGTTGCATATGTGTTAGACTGCTTGTTCTATTCGTATTTTTTCATTTTTTTTCTCTTGGTTCTTTAGATTGGATAAATTCTATTCATGTATCTTCAAATTTCACTGATTCTTCCTTCTGCTGTCTCTTCCTTCAGCTGTCAAGCACATCCAGTGACGCTTTCATTGATATTTCATTGACACCTTCTACTGTTCAGCTTCAGAATTTCTGTTTGGTTCTCTTTTTTTCTTTTTTGAAATGGGGTCTTGCTTTGTCACTCAGGCTGGAGTGCTGTGCTGTGATTATAGATAATCACTGTTACCTCAAACTTCTGGGCTCAAGTGATCCTCCCACTTCAGCCTCTGGAGTAGCTAGAACCATTTCTGGCTAATTTTTCATTCTCTCTCTCTCTCTCTCTCTCTCTCTCTCTCTCTCTCTCTCTCTCTCTCTCTCTCTTTAGAGATTGGATCTCACTATGTTGCCCAGACTGGTCTTGAACTCCTAGGCTCAAGTGATCCTCTCACCTTGGCCTCCCAAAGTCCTGGGACAATAGTCATGAGCCACTGGGCCTAGTCCTGATTGTGGTTCTTTTTTTACAGTTTCTGTTTCTTGATAGAGATTCTCATATGTTCATTTATTACAAATATACCTTCCTTTGAGTTCTCTAAAAACATATTTTTAGTAGCTGCTTTAGTCCTCCTCGTCTGCTCTCTGTGTCATCTGGATTGTCTTGGGTTTGGTTGTAATTGACTCCTTTTCTTCTGTCTTGAGTGCAGGTTGCACTTTCCTGCTTCTTCTCAGAGCTTATGATTTTTATTGGGTCCTGGACATGAGCATGATATTAATGTATGGATTCTGCTGGTTCCCTTGAAGGCAGCTGACTTGGCTAGATTCAAACTTTCTCTCCTACAGTGGGCAGAAGCTGAAATCTCCACTTAGTTTTTTCATCTTTGAGCTGCTGTTTTTTTCCTGAGACCTCTGGTATGTCCCCCACGCTTGTGTGGTGTAGTCAGTCAGCTGGCCAAAGATTTGGATGGATTTTATAGGCAGATTTGGGGACTTGCCCCTTCTGTGGCTCTCACTCTTCCAGAATCCCTCCTACCCCACCCCAAGCACTCGGACACCTCAGGGCAGCTACCCTGATGCTTTGTGCCACCCAAGCGTTTGTGGGTTGGGGCATGCACCCAGGCAAAGCCATACACTTGCCAGTCTGACCCGTAGACAGTACATGGTAATGACGTGTTAGAGCAAGGGAACACGTTAATGTGAAAACGGCCGTGATATGGAGTAACTTGCATTCTAAAAGGTGCATTCTGGCCATGGCGAGCAGAGCGTGGTCTCCCTATCCACCCGGCTCTCCTTTTTTTTTTTTTTTTTGAGACAGAGTCTCACTTTGTTGCCCAGGCTAGAGTGAGTGCCGTGGCGTCAGCCTGGCTCACAGCAACCTCAATCTCCGGGGCTCAGCGATCCTACTGCCTCAGCCTCCCGAGTAGCTGGGACTACAGGCATGCACCACCATGCCCGGCTAATTTTTTGTATATATATTTTTAGTTGGTCAATTAATTTCTTTCTATTTTTGGTAGAGACGGGGTCTCGCTCAGGCTGGTTTCGAACTCCTGACCTTGAGCAATCCACCCGCCTCGGCCTCCCAAAGTGCTAGGATTACAGGCGTGAGCCACCGCTCCTGGCCCGGCTCTCCTTATTTAAATAAGATTCGGCCTTTGGAGCACAATTATTTCTGCCAGCGGAACAAGGAGCTGGTCCTAGTCAAGTCAGCTTTCTCACCTTGTCACTAGCAGGTTCTTTTCTTGAGGAGTTCTAGTCAAAATTATCTCCCCCTAGCATCACTGACATCACCGCTTCTTGGCTTCAGATGGGAACCACGTGGAGTGCGGTGTGCGGTGTGCGAGTGAGTGATCCGAACATTTACAGAAAACTGTAAATTCAAGTTTGATTAAGCTCGATTAAACAACTTCCAACAGAAAAATCCCAAATGTAGCGCTGTCAAGGGGAGAGAGAGAGAAAATTGGAGGCCCAGAAAGACACAACTGGAAATTCAGTCTTTTGGAAGAAGAGAATGCAGGTGGCCCGCTGAGACTGAATTCAGTGCCGCAGCCAATCGCCGCGTGGCTCTGGCGCCATCTAGTGGTTAGAGCTGCGTGTGGCTCGCACATAACTGAAAAATGAACTGAGTCCCACCGAAGGCACCTGGGAGGGCCGCTGGGGGAAGTCAGGGAAAGGTCCCTGACAATATAGATAGGATCAAACCAGCACAGTCGCATTCAAACACACACACCCCTTTCTGCTTTCTTTAGGGAAATTATTAATAGTTTAATCTGTTACCAGTTTTGCTTTACGGTAAGAAAAGGTTTTTTTTAAAAAAAATTGTGTACTGATTCTTAGGGGTGGGAACTGTTGGGGTGTTAGTGAAAAATAACAACCTAGCAGTGTTTATGGCCGTGGGCACTGGAACTCGTGCACGCGCTTCTGTCCTCACTGCACCCCATGGGGCCGGAGCAGTGGAGACCCCACACTTGGGGCCTGACATGCTCAGAGCTGGTGCCAGAACAGGGGACTGGTGTGTGTGCTTGGTCACAAAGCGACCCCCGCTTAAGTGTGTGTATTTAACAGTTTCTCAAATGCTTAACATAGCTGATCGTTTATTTAAAAGTGAAGACTGGGCCGGGCATGATGGCTCAAGGAGTCTCACTGTATTGCCCAGGCTGGTTTCAAACTTTTGGGCCCAAGTGAGGCTCCTGCCTCAGCCTCTCAAAGTGCTGGGATTACAGGCATGCGCCACCGCGCCTGGCCTGTTTTGGTTTTATATTTTGAAAAACAGTCTCTGCCCCCTCTGTCCATCTGTGGATCAGTTGTGCAACCCGTTTCCCCGCTTCCTTACCCGGTACCCAGAGTGTCTGCATTTCTGCTTTGAAGAACGTGGAAATTCCTGCTCGCCTCTCTTGAACTCCTAAGTTGCCTCTTTGGGCATGGTGCGTGCAACCCTCGCCCACCCAGTCTCTCTCCACCTCTCTTTAGAACTGAGCATGCAGAATTCGGAGAGTGGATCGGAGTCGCCGGCGTCCGTGGCCCTGCGTCCGTCAGCGGCAGCCCAGCCTGTGCCAGCCTCCCCGCAGGTAACAAACACCCGCCCCTGGGCAGGAGGGCGGCCAGTGTGGACGTGTGCCCTTCGGGTTTGAAGAATTACTTGGATCCGCAAGAGAGAGAAATCTATATTTTTCTGAATGGACTTCTCAGCCCCAAGACCACTGCTGTTGAAATAGGCATCGCTTCCTTCACATTTTTACGTTTTTTCCCCCATTTGTGAAAAGGGTCCCACTGAGAAAATAATGTGAACTGAAAAAGAAACCACTGCCCTGAATCAACTTCATCTCTTCTTATCTTTCAATGAAAGTTTTCTTGCACTTCGGAAATGACCCCTTTACACTGACATATTTTATGGATAAGGCAAAAAATAAGTTGGAATTCTTAGGATTTGGGTTGAAATGGAATCTAGCATTAGAATGAAGATGTTCTTTAAAATCTGCAGAGAGAGGCCGGGCGCGGTGGCTCACACCTATAATCCTAGCTGTCTGGGAGGCCGAGGCGGGCGGCTTGCTCAAGGTCAGGAGTTCGAAACCAGCCTGAGCAAGAGCAAGACCCTGTCTCTACTATAAATAGAAAGAAATTAATTGGCCAACTGATATATATATAAAAAAATTAGCCAGGCATGTGGTGCATGCCTGTAGTCCCAGCTACTTGGAGGCTGAGGCAGAAGGATCGCTCGAGCCCAGGAGTTTGAGGTTGCTGTGAGCTAGGCTGATGCCACGACTCACTCTAGCCTGGACAACAAAGCGAGACTCTGTCTCAAAAAAAAAAAAAAATCTGCAGAGAGAGAATTTTCACGTCGAGACTCTCACTATTTCTAGATTCCTGCTATGGATTGAAATAAGCTATAGTCCGGGCGCAGTGTCTCATGCCTATAATCTTAGCACTTTGGGAGGCTGAGACAGGAGGATCACTTGAGCCCAGGAGTTTGAGACAAGCCTGGGCAACATAGTGAGAAACTCCCAACTAGCCAGGCATAGTGGTGTCTGACTGTAGTCCCAGCTACTCAAAAGGCTGAGGCAGCAGGATTGCTTGAGCCCAAGAGTTCTAGGTTGCAGTGAGCTATGATAACACCACTGCATTCTAGCCTGGGCAACAGAGTGAGACCTACTCTCAAAAAAAAAAAAATTGAAGAAAGAAAGGAAGAGGAGAGGAGAGGAGAAAGAGAAGAAGAGAAGGAAGGAAGAAGGAAGGAAGGAAGGAAGGAAGGAAGGAAGGAAAGAAGGAAGGAGAAATAAGCTGTAAAGTAGACATGAACACAAAGTGAACAGCACAGACCACATGAAACAGACTGAAGGCTCGTCACAGTGTGCAGAAGTCCACTGTGACCAGGTCATCACCCTCGATTTCAAATCTAAAAGTTAGGAACACAACGAAAAGAACTGATTAAAGTAGGGGGAAAAAATCAGCAAAAACAAAAAGGCAGACAGCAAAGCAGTTTATTTGATTTAGCATGTGTAGAGGGACACCTTTAGCTTTTATTTCTTGCAAATAAGGCGGGGACGGGGTTAGTCTTGGAAGCCGGTCTGAGGTGCCGAGAGGGTGTGACCAGATGCTGTCATCCTGCCAGCAGATCGTGGCCTAATGGGTTTGTTTCCTGCCCACTCGAATCTGTGCAAGAGGGGCCAGCCCTGCCACCCACCAAGCTCCTCTCTCAGGCACCCCTGGGCCTGGATGGGCTCTGCCTTCCTCTGCAGCAGCCTCAGTGTCACTGTCACAGCTTGAAATGTGGCCTGTGTGCCTGAGGAACTGGACTTGGCAACTTCTGTAAATCTCACTGACTTTGCGTTTAGACAGCCACGCAGCTGCACAGCGAGCAGTTAAAGTGTGCAAATGGAAACGCTAAATATCCTTATGTATTTATTTAATTGAGATAAAACTCACATAGCATGAAATTAATCATTTTAAAGTGTACAAGTCAGCGGCGCTTAGTACATCCGCAATGTTATGCCACCAGCACCTCTATCGCGTTCCAGAACTTTTCATCCCCCCCAAAAAATAAAACCTTCCCCATTAGTGGTCACTCCTCAGCCCCTGCCCCTGTCCCTGGTGACCATGAATCCACGTCCCATCTCTGTGGATCCACTTGTTCTGGGCATTTCATAAATGGAGTCACACACTGTGTGTCCTTGTGTCTGGTGTCTCTCACTGAGCACGATGTCCTCAAGGTCCGTCCACGCTGTGGCCTGTGTCAGAGCCTTGTCCCATTTCATGGCCAAGCGATGTTCCAGCATGTAGAAGGACCACGTTGTGTTTGTCCATCATCCATTGATGTTTGTGCCACCTGTGTTCTTGTTGTCGCTGGTTGTGAGCTCGCAGAGGGCTGTGTCCCTGTGAAGTCTCCTGGCACACAGCACCCAGCTCAGCTGGACCCTAAAGGCCCTTAGGGGTGTCCTTATTGTACCTTCTTCATCTTGTAGCTCCGTTCCTGGGACACTAGGGGACAGTATGTCCTCACTCCGCACCCCTCAGTGGTGTGTGCAAGACAGGGTCACCACGACCTATGACATTCAGGGTCCTTGTGAGAAAAGCACCGCATGGCAGTCAATGACTTCTAAAGCCTAGCTCTAAATAACCACAGGAAATGGTCCTGTTTCTCTCCCGACTCGGAGTTCATTTTGACCCCTCATATTTTCATATCTCTGGGGGACCAGTCAGGTCCTCCGAGCAAAATAGCAAAGCCACACTGTGACGACGCGACTCAGGAGACCAGAGAGTGGTGGAGCCAGAGAGTGAGAGACCTGACACAGGACACCTGGCTTGAGTCTAGGTTCTAGAATTTAGTATCCTGTGGCCTTGGATACCACTTGACCACTCTGGGCTTCGTTTTCCCTCTTGTATAAAACAGGGACAAAGCCAGTGTGTACTGCAAAGCCACGGGGTGCCACAAAGCGCCCTCCCAGGGCCAGTGGTGTGGACAGCTGTCCAGAGGGTCCCTCTGTGCCAGGGACAGCCAGCATCGGCTCATCGCAGACTACAGAGCACACAGAGGCAGAGCTGCTTGGGGCCGAGTGGAGGCCCCTGTGCGCGTGTGTCTGTGCCCAGAGTCTGTGCATGTGTGTGGTGCGTGGGGGTGAGTGTGTGTGCACACTTGTGGACGTGTGGGTGGTGTTAGTGTACCTGCACGTACCTGCAGTGTGTCTGTCCAGGTCAGCATGAGCGTGTGTGTGTCCAGCCCTGCCCTCCTCCCCTCCTGTCACCGCACTTGTTTAGACAAAGCCGCAGACAGCCTCTGTGTTCTGTGTTTGTCTTCGGTGGTGACCTCTGACACGTCTCACTGCCTGTTCTCCCTTCTCTTTCAGAGGGTGTTGGTCCAGGCAGCCAGCTCCGCCCCCAAAGGGGCCCAGATGCAGCCCATCTCTCTCCCCAGAGTACAGCAGGTGCCACAGCAGGTAACGACAGCGCCACAGCACCGGCCACGCCACGGCGCAGTTGGCACTTAGCAATCCAGAATGATCTCTGAGCAATGTGTCCTTTCCTATTGGTGCTGTTCCTTTTTGTTGGATACATTTGGTTTCTTAGCCAGAAGGCTCTTCCAGAAGCTATGTGATTTTTTACAAAACATTCTTTTATTGTAACAAGCCAGGCAAGCTGGTGATCTTTCGTTTGTTCATAAATTCAGCAAGCATTTGGGAAGTGAGAGAGCACCCAGTGCCTGAGGCAGAGCTAAGGTAGAAATGTAGATGGAAAGGAAGGGTGTCAAGGCCGGGCATAGTGGCTCACGCCTATAATCCCAGCACTTTGGGAGGCCAGAAGTTCAAGACCAGCCTGGGCAACATAGCAAGACCCCATCTCTACAAAAAAAAAATTTTTAAATTTTCCAGACATGGTGGTGTGCACCTGTAGTCCCAGTACTGGGGAGGCTGTGACAAGAGGATCGCTTGATCCCTAGAGTTGGAGGCTGCAGTGAGCTATGATGATGCCACTGCTCCAGCCTGGGCAGCAGAGCAAGACCCCCATCTCTTAAAAAAGAAAAGAAAAGAAGTAAATGAATCATTCCAAACTGAAGGAACACAGGACCTACTGGAGAGGCAAATTCATCTGCAAGCAAGTACGGTACCCTCAGACGGGTGTACCGCAGGGGAAATGCCTCTGATGAATTAAATTATCTAAAAATAAAGTTTGAAAGCACGGCTGGCCAGGCAAATAGTAACAGGTCATCAGCTCAGGGACAGGCAGTAGATCTAAAAGGGCAGTCAGCAAACCATTTCTTAAAAAGGCCAAGTAGTACTTTTTTTTTTTTTTGGCTTTGTCAGCCAGGCGGTCTCTGGAATGACCACTCAATTCTGCCATTGTAGCACAAAAGCAGCCATAGACAATATGTAAACACATCATCATGGCTGTGTGCCAATAAAACTTTATTTACAAAAATAGGCAGTGGGCCAGATTTGGCCCCCAGGCTGGAGTTTGTCGACTGTGCTCTTAGGAATCCTGAATTCAAGTTAATTCAGACTTCTCCTTAACAGGACCCACGAGACCCTAGAAAATGCACCCGTCTCTTCAAGGATGTCCTACTTAGATTAGTAGCGTGTTTATAAATGTTTGTCAGGTGACTGTCTCTGGGAACAGGGAAGATTTGCAGGCTCAGCAGGGACCAGGGTCTCAGGTCAGTGGCTGTATCTTAACACCTGTCTTTGTCAAGATCCTTCCCAGGGATACCATTAGGGGAGGAGAGACAAAAACCTATGTGTGATTCTAGAAGCGTCCTCAACTCAGGGCACCTTGGACTTGCCAGGTGACTTCTGCATTTCACTCAGTTCCTCAGGGTTTGACATTTGACTTCCACCCTGGGGATAGCACCCAGCATATGGTCACTCCTGGAACTTGGCGTCCCGGGGTTTGTGCGTTGGGCGCCTGTATACCATGCTCAGTTGTCCCGGGAGGTGGGGGTCAGCCCCGTCCCGCAGCTTCAAGCAAAGGCTTAGGGAGGAGAGTCACCCCCAAGACCTAAGCAAGCCCACCGCTGTAGCCCTCCTTCTTCTCACCCCAAAATTAGGCTGACCTCGGCACTAGGACGCCGTCTGCTGTGAGAGTTTAGAGTTCCACGTGCAAAGCGCTGGGTAGGGCAGGGATGGGAGGGCATTGGGGTCCCCCCATTGCCCCATCTCTCCAGGCATGTCACTCCTTCCAACCCTGCTCAGACTTCAGAGTCTCTCTTCCTTCCTGCCGGGGAGTGTCGGGACGGGGACAGGTAGAGTGTCATTAGCCCGAGCTCTGTGCCCGTGGCAGGGACTGTCCAGTGTGCCAAGGCTGGAGCTCTGTCCCCAGCTTTGGTTATGTCTCTCCTAGAGTCTTTCTAGGAGGACTGACTGTGGGAGGGACATTTGTACTTGGTACTAAATGTTCATAAAAGGCAATAGAAGACATGTGAAGTTTGCATAACACGGAAATAATTGACGGGAGAACAACGGGCCGTGACTCGCTGCGTTCGGTGCCGTTGCAGGTGCAGCCGGTGCAGCATGTGTACCCCGCCCAGGTGCAGTACGTGGAGGGGGGAGACGCCGTCTACACGAATGGAGCCATGTACGTGCTGTGGATCAGACTTGATCTTCCATTTCTCAAGGACTCCTAGAGCATTCTACTCTCTGACTATACTGGGACAGAAAATTAGGCATTTCCCAGGCGGTTCATTTTGCTTGAGAGACATTTGTTTTCATGTGGTTTTGATAACTGTTCACACGAGCAGGGGTTGGGGGGGGGGTTGGCGTGATCGAAGTTGTGATCGAAGGAGTTGGTGGATTTCCGAAAGCACGACATCGAAGGCTATGAAACACAGACACAAATGAGTGTGTGTAAAATTGGTGAAATGGGAACAGAGTCTGTAGGTGGTACCGAGGTCACCTTTGCTGTTGTGCTACAGTTATTCAGGGGGCGGCAAACAAGTGCACAGCTCCAAGAGACCTGGGGGCCTCCCTGCCACCCAGAGGGACACGTCACTAACCTTCACTCACCGATAAGGAATAATTACTGCTACCCACATTTTACGATGGCCAGCAGCACTCAACTGTGCCTAAAAATTTTCAATCTCAACAGACATGGTTAATCTTTTAATCCAGGTGTTAAAGGAATATTAGATGAATTCTTGGTGTCACTTGGAAATTATTTTTTTTATGCAATTTCATTGTTTTTACCTTTTTGTTTTAAAATAATCATAAGCTCCCAGGAAGTTGCAAAATTAGTACCTAGAGCCCCATGGACGCTTCCTGCTCGGGCTTGCCCATAGGTGACAGTCGGGCAGTATCAAAACCTGGACATTGACATTGGGACAGTCCTGTAGCTGGCCTGTGGGCCTTATTCAGTTTCACCTGTCTTTATACACATTCTTTTGTGCGTGTGTGCTTGCGTGTGTGTGTGCATGCGTGTATATTTCTGTGCATTTGAATCCCGTGTATAGATTCATGTAACCACCACGGTAAGATACAGAACTGCTCCATCTCTACCCAGTTATCCATATGGAATTTTTTGTGTGTGGTTTTCAATTAGCCTGTCACCCTGAATATTTTCGGAGACAGGGGTGGAACTCTGTACTGTGTTTGAGTTCCATCTGCCACGTCTGCATTGTTCCACGTGCCTGGTCTCGCGGGGCTCCAGCATTTATGTGACGTTTTGCTGGGTTCCTTTGAAACTCGGATGCGGCATTTAAAGCGGACAGGGTCCCACGGTGACTTGTCTCTTTCTGACAGACGCACGGCCTACACCTACAACCCCGAGCCTCAGATGTACGCCCCCAGCAGCGCGGCTTCTTACTTCGAGGCCCCGGGAGGTGCGCAGGTGACGGTGGCTGCCTCGTCCCCGCCCGCCGTGCCCTCCCACAGCATGGTGGGCATCACCATGGATGTCGGGGGCAGCCCCATCGTCTCCAGCGCAGGAGCCTATCTCATCCACGGAGGCATGGACGGCGCACGACACTCCCTGGCCCACACCTCGCGGTCATCGCCAGCCACGGTATGTAGGAGGCTCCTGGGGCCAGCAGGGTGGGCCATGTGTAGACTCCCAGCAGCAGCAGGGACCGTGAGTAAAAGGCAGCCCAGAGCCTTGGGGGGCTGTCATCTGCTGTGGACCCAGGTGGCCCCATGTTGGAGTCCCACCAGCCTCAGATGGGCAGAGTGATCTAGGCAGGTCTGTAGGGTCTTTGAACTTCAGCTTGTCATTGGTGCAGAGAGGAACAGAAGCCACGAGTCCCGGCTATGGTGAAAATCGAATGAGTAAAGTATCTCCCACTGGTAGCTGTTGCTGCTCGTACTATCATTGTCATCTTTCCCGTTATCAGAGGCTTAGCTCAGTCCTCCCACGTGAAAACAGGACCCACCCACACAAGAGAAAGTTTCCCTGCAGAATGCCTCCGAATTCATACTACCACATTCCCGTGCAAAATTATTATTTACCTGCTTTTAAAAAGTCTCTGCTTTTATAACTCCATTTTCCGTGTTTATTTTTATTTTGTTTTAGTTTTTAAATTAGCAACAGAGTAAAACTGACTTTTTGGTGTACAGCCCTGTGAGTTTTGACACACGTGTGGGTTTACCCCCACCCCCGCAATCAGGATACCCACAAAACCCCTGCGTGGTATTTCTTGGCAGTCACAACCCCCTGTCCCCACCCCTGGCAACCACCAATCTCTTCCCTGTCACTGTAGTTTTATCTTTACAGGCATGTTGTAGAAATGGAATCACACAGCATGTGACATTTTAAGTCTGGCTTCTTCCATTCTGTGCCTTTGAGACTCAGTCAAGTTGTTGCATGGGTCAGTAGTTGGTTCATTTTTGTTAGTGAGTAATATTCCACTACAGTGTAGTTTGTTTATTCATTCACTGGTTGAGGGCCATTTGGATGGTTTCCATTTGGGGGAGATTATGAATAAATCATCTCCGAGAATTCACATGTAGGGCTTTGTACGGACATATGTTTTCCTTTCTTTTGGGTAAATACCTACAAGTGGGATTGCTAGCTCACAGACATGGTAAATGTATGTTTAACTTTATCAGAAACCACCAGAGAGTTTTCCCAAGTGGTTGTCCCATTTTGCATTCCCACCAGTAACATGTGAGAGTTCCCATTGATCCATTTCATCGTCACAACTTGATGGCGCCAGGACTCGTTAATTTGGCCATTCTGATAGGCGTGTGGCGGTACCGCATTGTGGTTGTAACTTGCATTTTCTTTATAGCTAACGATGGGAAACAGCTTTTTATGTGTGTGTCTCCTTTGGTAAATGCTCTCTGGTGAAGTGTTAGTTCAAGTCATTTGCTTTACTTTTTTAACTGGGTTGGTTGTTTTCGACAACTGAGTTTTGAGAATTCTTTGTATGTTCTGGATACGAGTGGATACGAGTATCCAGACATACTTTGCCCCTAGGGGACTGGCAGGGTGGAACCAGGTTTAGGGTTGTTATTGACCAGAAAGTTCTCCTCACAGACAGCCCTCATTTTCAGGTTTGATTTTAGCAAACTGTATCAACTTATAATAGCTGAATATACTGGGATCACAAGGCCCAAATCTACTGAGAAATGGCAGTGTTCTCTGTGGTTCAGAACCATCTTGTCGCAAGCAAACCTGCTCTTCAGACCCTGGGCCACCCAGTTACTGTAGTTTTTTGTTGGACTTGCTTTGGATGAATTGAATTTTTTTACACATATTCATAATACCAACAAATTCCTGGGGACTTAGCATCTTGGATAGGAATGTGATTCCTGACATCTGCCTGTTCTATTATTTTTTATTGGCTTGTTTGGGGCATGGGAATATCTCTAAAGGATGTCACAGAGATTTGAGAGACTTTCCAGGAGCCAAGAACAAGAATGGCCCTGAGATTGCAACAGAGATATGGCTCTTGAAGCCAACATTTGACATCTGCCAGTTTGTTCGTGTCAGAGCTTTGTTTAGTGGGACTTTAAGTGAATCCCAAAAACAGAGCATGAAGACTGAAACAGGCCGGGCATGCCCACTCACACCTGTAATCTTAGCATTCTGAGAGGCTGAGTAAGGAGGATCGCTTGAGGCCAGGAGTTCAAGACCAGCCATAGCAAGACCCCATCTCTACTAAAAATAGAAAAATTAGCCAGTCGTGGTAGTATGCGCCTATAGTCACAGCTACTTGGGAGGCTGAGGCAGGAGGATCCTTCTGAGCCCAGGAGCTGGAGGCTGCAGTGAGCTATCATGATACCCCTGCACTCTAGCCTGGGCGACAGAGCAAGACTCTGTCTCAAAAAAAAAAAAGGAAAAAAAGGCATCAAACTCTCCAAGGAGTCACTGTATTCTTCACCACAATATACTCACATTAAAAATTTTTTAATTTTTAATTTAAAGAGAACTAGATGCCATGGCTCATACATGTAATTCCAGTGACTCAGGAGGCTAAGGGGGGAGGATTACTTGAGGCCAGGAGTTTGAGGCCAGCCTGGACTTCATAGCAAGACCCCATCTCTAAAAACATAAATAAATAAAACATTTTTAAATGGAGGACAAAGAAAGAAAATACTAGTTTTATTGAAGAATGTCCTTGATGAAGCAATAAAAAGTATTAATTTTTGTTCCGCTTCAACCCTCAAGCACACATCTCTAGTACACTGTGTGATGAGATGCAAAGTCTACCAAAGTACAATGCTCATTTCTAGGAAAAGCCTGCTTGCACTTGTTTGAATCATGGGCAGGACTAGTCATCGTTTTCGTAAAACAACATGTTTGATTGAAAGAATGACAGACCGTGATTACTCAGACTCAGGTATTTGGCAGACATTCTCTCAAAAATGAACAACATTAAGCCTGACATATTAAGGAGAATAGCTGGCAGGTTTTTGTTGCCAATGGTAAATTTTAAGTTTTTGAATGAAAAATAAGAATTTTGGAAAACTTCATCTGCCCCCAATAGCCTGACAGAGTCTCAATAGTTAATGACTTTCTGATGAGGTTGGTAGTGATATTAACAAATGTGAGTTCTTGATATCATGTCAACGTTTAGAAGATCTGTGAACTCAGTGAACCCATATTTTCCAAGTGAGCAATAAATACATGATGTCTAATGTTACATAACCATGCCCATCAGTAAAAGATTCATTCGAATTACAACAGAGACTAATGCATTTTGAAAAATTTGTTCTATGTAATTCTTTTTCTTGAGATAAAATTTATGTAACATAAAATTCACCATTTTAAAGTGTACAACTCAGTGGTATTTACTACATTCACAATGTTGTGCAGTCATCATCACTATCTAGTTCCAGAATATTTTTATCACCCCAAAAGGAAACCCCACCCCCATTAGCCATCATTCTTCATTTCCCCTCACTCCATCCCCTGACAACCACTAATTTCCAGGGGTTTGCGTGTTCTATACATTTCATATAAAAGGAATGATACAACATGTGGTCTTTTGTGACTGGCATCTTTCATAAGCATAATGTTTTCAAAGCTCATTCATGTTGTAGCATGTGTTAGAACTGTATTCTTTTTGTGGCTAAATAATATTCCATTGTATAGATGGACTGTGTTTCAATTATCCATCTATCTGTTGATTGACATTTGGGTTTTTTACTTTTTGGCACTTTGAATAAGTCATTCCACTACCTTCTGGCCTCCATGGTTTCTGATGAGAAATCAGCGATTACTCTTAGTGAGGATCCCCTGTTTGTGACAAGTCACTTCCCTCTTACTGCTCTTCTGTCTTTGTCTCAAAAGTTTGATTACAATGTGTCTTGCTATGCATTTCTTTGAGTTTATACTATTTGAGTTTCGGTGAGATTTTTGAATGTGTATATTCATGTCTTTCATCAAATGTGGGAAGTTTTCAACCATTATTTCTTCACATATACTTTCTGCCTCTTTCTCTCTCCTCTCCTGGGACTCCTGTTGTGTGTTTGTTGGTATACTCAGTGGAGTCCCACAGCTTTCTTAGGCTCAGTTTATTTATTTTTTCATTCTTTCTTCTCTCTGCTCCTCAAATTGAGTAATCTCAATTGACCTATCTTTAAGTTCCCTGATTCTGTCTTCTGCCTGCTCAAATCTGCTGTTGAACTTCTCCTAGTGAATTTTTCATTTCAGCTATTGCACTTTCAACCCCAGGATTCCTATCTGGTGCCTTTTTACAATTTCTGTATCCTTATTGATATTCTCTATTTGGTGTGAGCCATCTCTCTCATGGCTTCTTTTACTGCTTTATACTGCTTTATACAGTTCTTTAGACCTTTGAGCATATTTTAAATAGTTGATTTAAACTCTTTGTCTCATAAATCCAGTGTCTGGGCTTTCTCAGGAACAGTTCTCTTTATTTTTTTCTATGTTGGACCGTACTTTCTTGTTGGCTTGCATGCCTCATAATTTTTGTGGAAAATTGTATATTTTGAATATGGCAACTCTAGATATCAAATTCTTCCACACTCCCCAGGGTTTGTTGTCACTACTTGTAGTTGTTGATTGTTTGTTTAATGACCTCTCTGGAGTAATTTTTAAAAATCTGTGTTCTTTGTCATGTGTGGCCACTGAAATCTCTGTTTGGTTAACTTAGTGTTCAGCTAATGATTTGAAAGAGGTTTCCTTCAATGCCAAGTTTTATCTGTTTTTTCTTGATTAAGGGGTTACCTGGTTGCTATAAACTTTTCATTGGTTTCCAGAGTTCAGATAAACTTGATTTTTGATAGTTTTTGCCAATTTATTCACTGCTTTTATGGAGGGATGGATTTTGGAGTTCCCTACTCTGCCATTTTTGTTGACGTCACCTTGAGACTAATGGATTTCAATGGAACTGAGTATGAGAAGTTCATTGGTATGATTTCAAATTCTACATTTCAGGTAACTCTTAACAAACTATGATACTAGTTGTCAAGTGTTGTGTAATAGCAAGTAAAAAGATCCATAGTTATCTGAAACAGCTATTAAAACACTGCTCCTCTGCCAACCATATATCTATGTAAGGCCATATTGTTTCCATACACTCTAAATAAAATGGCATCTAGTAATAGATTGGAATATGGAAGCAGATGTGTTGGATCTAACTGCCTTCCATAAGTCAGACACTTGAGGTCAAGAGGTCTGTAATGATGTATAACAATTCCACTCATCTCATTTTTTTCTTTTTTAGAATTTGGAAAATATAGCTATTCTTCATTTTAAAATGCTATGTTAACCTGTATTGGGTGTATTATTTTTTAATTGAATGAACACATATATTTTTAAATTTTTCCACTTTAATTTCTAATGCAGGCAATATTGATAGACTTAACTCTTAAAAACAAAACCTCCTTGGGGGGAGGGATTTAAAAATTTTTTAATAGTGCAAAGGAGTCATCAGACCAAATGGGTGGGACCCGCTAGGCTGAGAGAAGGTGTTTCCTTCCCCTTCCCAGTCTACTAGTGGTCATGAACTCTTGAACTGGAGGTCATGAACTCTTAGGGCACCATGGTTGGACGGTGTCCCACGTGGAAGTTCCCCCAGGGCAGTTGTCAGTAGACTGCCCGGCTCCTCCCTGCTGTAGGGGTGAGGGGATGCAGGAGATGTGTTTTGCCAGCACTTGCCCAACTGCCCAGGCCACAGGCCAGAATGCCTGCGAGGCCAGGGACAGGTGTATGCATTATACTTTTTCTCTCTGTTGACTGCGTCCCCCTCACTCGCCTGCACCCTGGGGCTGACTCATTGGGGAGGTGGAGAGAGATCTCACCAGGGTCCTCCTTTGCTCAGTCCTCAACATACCTTCTGCACCTCTTAAAGGTGACACTGACATCCTCTTTGGCTTGTGGCAAGTGCAGCGAATGAGAGAAAGCAGGATCACAGAGGTCAAAGAGGCCCTGGGGGAAGCAGTCGCCCTCCCCTTCTTGAACTCCGCTCTGGGGAACCCCGTCTCTGAAATAACATTTGACCTGCTTTTTGCAGAAGTGGCGTCCACGTCTGTGGCCTCCCCGGGTGTTTGAGGAAAGGCAGCATATACCTTAGGGCCATTTCCTTCCATCACGGTTCTCTGCCCATGTGCAGACGCTGCGGCAGCCATGCTCTGCTGGGTGCTTCTTCCTTGCATAGACCTGCTGCCCGCACCCCCTTCCCCTCCAACAGGTCCTTTGGGACCCAACACAAAAGCCCTCTTCCTCCAGGAAGTCCTACCATTGGCACCCCTGACTCTTTCTTCTTCAACTCCATTCTCTTCCCCACACAACTCTCTTGTGCAGCTCACGCTTCATAAACATTCAGGATGTGATCTCTGTGACCATGTCTGATGGCCCGGGGTCCCATGCCTCCTGATGGCAGGGTCTGTGGCTTTGGCCTCACTGGTATTTTCCCAAAACATCCCCCGGCAGGGAGACCCTGGGCTCTGCGATGGGACAGGCTGGCTGGGAAATCAATGCCGCCATCTGCCCTTGGTTTCGTTTACTTAATTCTCCCTAGCAACAGATGTGGTTTGTGGACAGGAGTCGGGGATTATCATGCTGGCTTTGTAGACACCTGAATTTGTGCAGCAACTACAAATTAATACGTCATGCATGTACACATGCATACGTTGTGTTAGAACCCAATGGCCGGCTTCCACAATGTGACTTCATTCTGCTGCTTCTGTTGGACAAGCTCTCGGGCTCCTCTGCATGTGACAAAGTAACACTCCCTGGCGCAGCTTTAACTCACAATTTAACTCACTCCTACTGCCCTGCCAGTGTGGAGCTTTGTTTTTATTTTGTAGGAGTTCAAATCATTATTTGGATATTAATAAAAACAAATCTTGGCTGATGCTAACCATCTGATTTCCTTTTTTTTTTTTCATTTTGTTTTGTTTCTGCACACATTTTCTTTAGCTTGAAATGGCGATTGAAAACCTCCAAAAAAGCGAAGGAATCACATCACACAAAAGCGGTTTACTCAACAGCCATGTAAGTGTGTGTCTGACTTGGCGAGCTACCCCTGCTCTGCTTGTAACCTGCATAAACGTTTTAAAAACAAGACAATGGGCTGGGCGCGGTGGCTCACACCTGTAATCCTAGCACTCTGGGAGGCCAAGGTGGGCGAATTGCTCAAGGTCAGGAGTTCGAAACCAGCCTGAGCAAGAGCGAGACCCCGTCTCTACTATAAATAGAAAGAAATTAATTGGCCAACTAATATATATAGAAAAAATTAGCCGGGCATGGTGGCGCATGCGTGTAGTCCCAGCTACTCGGGAGTCTGAGGCAGCAGGATTGCTTGAGCTCAGGAGTCTGAGGTTGCTGTGAGCTAGGCTGACACCACGGCACTCACTCTAACCTGGGCAACAAGGTGAGACTCTGTCTCAAAATAAAAAAAAAAAAAGACAATGAAATGACACCTTTAAAGTGCTGAAAGTCGAGGGGGGAGGGAGCCAACCTAGAATTCTATACCCAGCAAAAGTATCCTCGAACAATGAAAAGGGGTAAGCCAGACAGGCTCTTCATTTGTAAAAGGTAGAAAATAATAATAGCACCTCCTAGGGTTGTTACAGGGATGAAATTATTTAATGTATAATCAGTATAGTTATGTATTAAAAACAATAACAGCAACAAAAGAAAGAGAAAATGACATGGGATCAGGAATGCCATAAAGACTCTTAGCTAATCGTCCTAGGATCAGCTGTCTGAAAGAAATGGTAATTTGAAAAAAGCATAAAACAATTAATCCCTACTGATTTTAGTTGTATAAGATTTTTTTCCTACTCTGTCTCATGGGAGGAAACCATAATTGTAGACACTGTGTTGGGAAGTTGTGGACTCTAGGCTCTAGGTGGCTTCGTGACAGGTGGGACTAGAGGAGGTGACCTCCAAATGCTGTCCAAGTGCTGAAATGTGTTCTTCATGTAAAAACTAGAACAGGTCACTGAAGTGAGAATGTGCTTCTAGCAGTTGCTCTCCAGCTCTTAAATTGGGACTGGACATTTTCTTGAGAATTCAAACAGCAAAGAAAAAGAAGTCCCCTTTAGTCAAACCCGATTCTAACTGTGACTTCGTCCAGCCTTTGTGCCGCCGGTGTTCAAAATGAAGTGTCATTTGGAAAGCAGTGACTCGGGGGTCAGAAGCCAATCTAGGGAAAGGTGCAGAAACTTGGGTTTATGGGGTGGACACAGGCGTGGTCAGCTGCTCAAGGCGGCACCTGGTGAGGGCTCTGCTCCCTGCCTTGGCAGGCTGGTCACTAGAAGAAATAGCAGAAATATTTCCTTCTGCCGATTGTCTTGAAGCAAAGAATGGTATCTTAGGCCCCTGGTCAGTGCCCCATCCCCACCAGGCTGGGAGGGACGTGGTCACCCTGTCGTCCTCCCTGTGCACAAACCCAGGGAGGGGAGATCTTCAGGGTGTGCTCAACCCCAAGTTGGGGTCCCCCACCCCAAGTCTTAAGCTCGGAGCACAGTGAGTGGAAAAGCCTGCAGAGCGACGTCTCTATTCAGCAAGACGAACCCACGTGGCCACGTCGCAGCCTGTGGGACCCCAAGCACGGGGCCAGCCCTGGGGAGAGAGAGCTGGCAACGGTGACTCGGGCAGCGTGGCTGTGGGAAATACGCAAGTCGCTTGTCCCTGGCTGCGGTACGCGTCTGGCTGGCTGACACGTCCTGTCCTTATTCGGGCAGCCCTGCCTGGCTCCTCGCCCCCATCTGCCTTAAACTTGCAGTTCTCCCTCCAGGCCCCTTTCCCAGGTGGATTTCTCTCGTAGCACTTAGAGCCATCCCACATTTGGTGCATTTTACCTGTTTATTGTCAGTCTCGCCCCTGTCAGCATGGACGCTGCTGGAGGGCAGGCGGTCTGTGTCTGTTTTTCTGTCTTACTTGTCACACACCTAGAACAGGGGCTGGCATAGAGCCAGCTCTCAGAAACTGTTTGCAGGATGGATGAGAAGGCCGGTGTTCCAAATGGGGTTACAGTGACGCGGGGAGACACAGGCGCTCGAAAGAGCCGCACAAGCTGCTAGTGATACATGGCCCGGCAAGAGTCCAACTCGCCACCAGCCGATTGGGAGCCGACGTCGGGCAGATCTGTCCCAACAGCAGACGTAATAAGTGTCTTAGACGACAGAGGGGGCTGGGCAGGTGGGCTCGAGCCCCGCCCTCCCACCTGTAGGTGAGGATGGCTGTCCACCAGAGCCCGGAACCACAGCGAGGGGAAAGTTGTCGGTTTAGGGTTTTTTTCCTCTTAAAAGGAAGGATTTGATCCATTCTATGGAGATGTGTGCCATCGCGCTAGATCTCAGCAGATGTGGAGACGTGCGTGCGTTTCCTTAGGCAGTGTGCTCTTATTTGCGTTTGATACTGACGTAGAGGTGGCTCAAACATAAGCAGACAGTGCCGACTGCAGGATATCCATCCCCAAACAGAAGTCGACCTTGTCCAGCCCTCTCTCCTTCCTCCGATGAAGTCCCCTGAGGCCCACGCAGTGGAGAGGTGGCACCACGAGGTCAGAGGGCATAGACCTTTGTGGTCAGTTTCCTGGGACTGGCCTGTGGTGCCCGTCCCATGCCAGACTCCATGCTGGGTGCGCGGATCTGAAGCCGGGTGACCTTGAACGGAGTCTGTAAGCGCCTTGGACTTCAGCTCTAGTCATTTCTCCCCTAGGCAGTTCACCCCCGAGAAGAGAGGAAACATACCTGGTGGCTCCGGCACAGTCTGTCTTCTCTGTGGTTGCCTTCCACCAAGCAGGAAGGACTTGTTGCCATGCCAACAGTCCATCCTTCACTGTCATCATGAACACAATCACCCAAACAGAGAATTCTACTTTTCATTGAAAAACCACAGGGGGTAAAGAGGGGAAGTGACCGTCTTTTCCAAAACTTTCCTTTTAAGTGTGAACTGGTCATGACCGACTGGTGGGCAGGGTCTTGGGCACTGCCTCTCAGAACTCCTGTCCCGGGCTCTGTTCAGCGTAAGACCCGCACAGTCTGGCCTCACGCACGTGGGCTGAGAATCTGTGTCACCCTTTGGCTTCTGCCCAGTGCGCCAAGGCTCTCAGGCCCTTGAGACGTGGGGCTGCTGGTCGTGGCTCCTGTGCCCCCTGGAGCATGCCTCCAACGTGGCACCTCTGCTGCCCCGGCCTCAGAGTGACGGGACAGCCCCTGGCTTCTGTGCCCAGATGCTCTTCCCACACTCCCCATGTCCTGGGGCCCCCTTTGCTCTTCAGGTCCCCTTATCCACATGGTCACTCTTTCTTGGCTGCCAGACTTGAGGCACCTTCAGGATCCTGGGGGTGCCCACGTGGCCAGACAGGTCCGTCTCTGCCCTTGAGAGTTTTCAGGGCAGACATGCGGTGCATCAGGAAGCAGCGTGGCAGGCCCAGATGTGAAAAGTGCCAGCCCTCCCTGCCTGGATCCCAAACCAGGTGAAAATAAGACAAAAGGGGCTGGCCCTGGGTCAGCCCATGTTTGCTGGGCTGGGTGTAAAACAGGCCACAGGGTGGTGTGTCGGAGCAGGGCTCATTAGAACCTCCCCCAAAATACCGATTTTTTAAAAAGGAGATGAAGGTAACTGCCTTGCGGGCTTGCTGTGCCCAGTGTGGACGGAGCAGACAGACGTGCAAACACGATCGTGGTGGGGTGGGGGAGGGGCAGGGCAGGCAGGGCCTTCCCAGGGGAGATGCCTCCCTTGGGTCTTGCAGGGCCGACCTCCGCCTGCCCCACGTGGGGATGGCCCTCACCCTCCCAACTTGACATTGACCCCAAGAGGCACAGACCCCAGCCCTAGACTTGCATAGCCTGCCCTTTGGCCTAGAGCAGAAAACCTTGCATATAAGCATTTAAATATTTTATTGGAATTCCGTTGGTACCTCTCTCAATCAGCCAGCTCAGTACGAGTCAGTTCATCTGTTCGTGGTCATTGGTTAGTACAGAGCGCGTAGTTTTCTCTGATCTTCCTGTTCTTACCATCAGAATTTCTCTCTGGTCCTGTATTTGAGGGGTTATTTGGTGTTTAAATACTGTGTGGTGGCGCGTGGGTGTTGAAATGATTATGAAAACAGAAGCTAGTAGGTCTCGATCACATGCAGATTTTTATATAATAAGTCAAGAACCCTGGAAACCAGGCTGGAGGCTAAAAGAATGAAGGAATGAAAATGATCCATTAAGACGTGTGCTGGGAGAACACAGATCAGTGACAGTAGAGGTGGATTTCCACTTCACCTGTCGCAGTAGCGGGAAGGCAAGAGATTCTCTTAGTGAGCCCGTGTCAGCATTGTGGCTCTTTTTCGGGATTTTGACAAACGTCAGCGTGTCTTCCTTTGCGCAGCTGCAGTGGCTGTTGGACAATTACGAGACGGCGGAGGGCGTGAGCCTGCCTAGGAGCTCCCTCTACAACCACTACCTTCGCCACTGCCAGGAGCACAAGCTCGACCCCGTCAACGCCGCTTCCTTTGGGAAGCTGATCCGCTCCGTGTTTATGGGGCTGAGGACGCGGCGCCTGGGCACCAGGTGGGTGGTCACCCCCACTCTGCCCATCTCCCTCTGCCTTTCTCCAGAAATTGAGCTTTTTGGGCAACATGGGGCTTCCTCCTTCTGTCCTGACTCGCAGCCACCTCCGGGTGACCTTGGGGTTGCTCTGAGTTGGCTGTAGCAGTGGCCAGGGCTGGGCATGACCTGGGTGTTGGCTGTGGCCCCCATTCTCAGCTTTAGAGGCTGCTGATGGGATTGATGTTCCCTCTGGTTTTCTCTCTCCTTTTGAAATTTCTCATAACAGCACGTTTTTTAAAAATCAGCCTCTAGGCCAGGCATGGTGGCTCACACCCATAATCCCAGCACTTTGGGAGGCCAAGGCAGGAAGATCATTTTAGGCCAGGAGTTCAAGGCCAGCCGGGGCAACATAGCGAGACCCCTGTCTACAAAAAAAGAAAAAAAAACAGAAAGAGTACCTGTCGTATTGTTTGGGACGTCTGCAAAGGAAGCTGACCCTGGGCTGTTTGGTTTCCAGAGGCAACTCGAAGTATCATTACTACGGGATTCGCCTGAAGCCAGACTCCCCGCTGAACCGGCTGCAGGAGGACACGCAGTACATGGCCATGCGGCAGCAGCCCGTGCACCAGAAGCCCAGGTGGGCGCCTGCGCAGTGGCGGGGTAGGGCCGGTCTCGCTTGGAGAGCGCAAGGAGTGTTTCCCAAACACACAGTGAGCTTGCGCACGGCCCAGCCTCCGGTGCCCTGGGAGAGCAGGGTCTCGCTGTGCCGAGCTCACAGTGGGGCCGGCAGGAGACGGGCGGAGCTGGGAGGCAGCCTCAGCCGGCTAACAAAGTTTTCATCATATCTTTAATTTTTTAGTAGATTTTAATATTTAGAGCAGTTCTAAGTTCACCGTGAAATTGAGCGGAAGGTACAGAGGGTTCCCACACACTCCCTGTCCCATCTGTACAGCACCCCCACAGAGCAGGGCATCGGTTACAATCTGTGACCCTCGGTGGATGCAATGTCATCACCTGGGTCCTTAGTGTGCATTAGGGTTACTCTTGGTGTCCCATATTCTGTGGGTTTGGACAAATATACAGTGACACGTCTCCTCCGTTACAACATCACACAGAGCAGTCCTCCTGCCCTAAACATCCCCTGGCTTCTGCCGGTCACTTCCGCCTTCTCCCAGCCCTTGGTGACCCTGATCTTTTGTGATCTCCATGCTTCCACCTTCTCCAGGGGGAGTAGTTGGAATCGCACATCTTTACTTTTTAAAGTTTAGAAGGAAAAAGGGAGCAACCACTGCAAATAACCCAAGCAGCCAGGAGAACCAAGCTGGTGTCCTTAAGTTGCTACTTCTTTTGACGTTTGTATCCAGTGGCTGGCAAGGCTGGTCATTTTCTGGAATGTCCTCTTCCCTCACACCCCAAACTCCCCATCTTCACAGGCAGGGGTCGGCAATGTTTTCGTAAAGAGCCACAGAGCAGATATCTTAGCCTTTACAGGCCACACGGTCCCTGTGACATCTGCCAAATCAGCCTCAGACAGTACGTGAACCGGGGGCGTGGCTGTGTGCCAATAAAATTTTATTTACAAAAACAAGAGGCAGAGTTGGGCCCCGGGCCATATTTGCCGAATGCTAGTGTAGAGCCCCACTCAAATGTCACCGCCCTGGCAGCCTTCTAGCGTGTCCCCATGAGCCACGGAGCACCTCCTCTCTCCCTGGCTCCCCCTCCAGAGTGAGTCTAGATGGTTCTGTCTGTACAACCTTGCAGACAGGGACTGAGTCACATGTGACCTTCACGCCTGGCGCCTGGCCTGCTGCACACAACCAGTCACAGATCTGTGTGACTCAAAAACCCTTTCCAACTGCTCTAAGTGTCTTAGTAACTCTTAGTGCCAGTCATGTGAGCTGGAGGTCACAGAGTCCCCAGAACATTCTCTGGGGGCCAGCAGGTAAAGACCGAGCCCATGGTCCATCCCGCGCCTTGCCGTCTGCAGAGGTGGACCTGGAGCTGGTTGCTGCTGTCGTTCAGTCCTGGCCCCTGGCAAACCCCCGGCGTGAATCTATGCTCCAGGCAGTGCACTATTTTAGGAGCAGCCACATGTTTCTTGGGGACAGGCTGATGCCATCTGTGTTTGGGAAGCCATGGGCTGCCCTGTGTCTGTCTGATGCTCAGACCGACTGCACCTCACTGGCACGATCTCCCACTTCCCGGTGGGCCCCACTTTTTGTGTCAGGAAATGCGCTCCCCGCTGGGCCCAGCTCCGGCCTGCTCTCCCCACCGCGCGCCGTCTGGGCTGGGGCAGTGAGTCGTCTGGCAGGAGACTCCTGCTGTTAACACTTCTCCGTTTGCTGCCCGGACCCAAGTCAGAGGATCTCCTTTGAGATCGCACAGTAGTAAGATGTTTGTGACTCCGTACAAAGGATCTCACTTGTCTTCTAAGACAGACATATTAGAGTGAAAATATGTATATACAGCCCGAGTGCCCATCAACACAACAGGGTCTACACGAGCAACAGAATATTACTTAGCCCTAAGAAGGAAAGAAACTCTGACACCTGCTCCAACATGGATGAACCTTAAGGACATGGTGCTCAGTGACATAAGCCAGACACAGAAGGACAAATCCTGTGTGATTCCTCTTGCAGGAGGTCCCTAGAGTTGTCAGATCCACAGAGACAAGAAGTAGGATGGCAGGTGCCAGGGGCTGGGGAGGGGGTGGGGAGTGAGTGTTTCATGGGGACAGAGTTTCAGTTTGGGAAGATGAGAAAGTTCTGGAGATGGAGGGTAGTGACGGTTGCACAATAATGTGAATGTGGGCCGGGCACAGTGGCTCACGTCTGTAATCCCAGCACTCTGGAAGGCTGAGGCAGGAGGTTCGCTTGAAGTCAGGTGTTTGAGACCAGCCTGAGCAAAAGTGAGACCCCCATCTCTACTAAAAAAATAGAAAAATTAGCCAGATGTGGTGATGGCGCCTATGGTCCCAGCTACTCAGGAGGCTGAGGCAGAAGGATCTCTTGAGCCCAGGAGTTGGAGGCTGCAGTGAGCCATGATGACCCCACTGCACTCTACTTGGGGCAAAAGAGCAAGACCCTATCTCAAAAAAAGGAAACAAAAACAACAACAAAAATGTGAATGTGCTTAATGTCACTGAACTATGCACCTAAAAATGGTTAAAGTGGTAGCTTTTGACCACAACTTGCACACACACACACACAAACTGCATCCTGTCTAGGCCCCTGCCCCTCAAGCCCACCCCAGGCAGTGCTGCTGGGCCTCACGTTGGCACACGTGTCCCCTGCGCAGGTACCGGCCAGCGCAGAAGACGGACAGCCTCGGGGACAGCGGCTCCCACGGTGGCCTGCACAGCACGCCCGAGCAGGCCATGGCGGCGCAGAGCCAGCACCACCAGCAGTACATAGGTGAGCCCCGGTGCCCGCGCGGGTCTGCGCCACCCGCACTCAGTGGCTGCTTTCCACGGTCTTCTCATAAGACACCTTTTCAGGCAAATAGAAAGTTCTACATAGACTTTCTTTCTGGTAGCCCTGAGATTTTAGAATAATCAGTCAAAATAATATATAAAACGACCACCAGGAAAATGAGCATCCGTCCCCTCTGGTCAGGGCAGGCGGGCGTCCTAGCTCAGAGCCTGTCTCGGGGACAGCAGGGACGGCTCGCTGGTGGCGGTGTTGTCGTTATTCAGACACTCAGCGGCTTCCGTGAGGCCACTCTTACTGTGTTTTTTGAGCTTGGACAGAGCCCTGCTGGGTTGAGTCTCCTGGGGGGATTGAGATGGTGTCAGGCCCATCTCCAGGAGGTCATGGCGGGGACACCCTGGCTGGCCACCTCCCAGGTGCGCTGCCCTCGGTGGGCTCTGTGGGCGCCTACTGCTGAGGCGAGGGCAGCGGTTTCGAGCGCTCGCAGTGGCCAGGGCCTGGGCGCGGGGCTTCTCCAAGAGCCTGTTTCTGATGCTCTGTCCCCCAGACGTCTCCCACGTCTTCCCGGAGTTCCCGGCACCCGACCTGGGCAGCGTCCTGCTACAGGACAGCGTCACCCTGCACGACGTCAAGGCCCTGCAGCTGGCGTACAGACGGCACTGCGAGGTGACCGCCCTCCCCAGGCCCAGGCAGGCACCGCCACACGTCCCTCGTCAGCACAGCTAAACTCTCAGGCGTCACCAGGTGTCCCCCGGCAAGGAGACAGGAGCCCCAGGCCGCCCACCGAGTGTCCTCCCCCTGGGCAGGGGTCCCTCCACCCACTGCCATCGCCTGCTGCTCTTCCCTCCTGGCGTCCCTCTCGGGACTTTAGAAGACCCACTGCCAGCTGGATCTCAGCTCCTTGCTCGGCGTGATCTGGGGACACGGGAGACACACGCGTTCATCTAACTGGTTGTTTCTGCTCCCAGGCGACTCTCGATGTCGTGATGAACCTGCAGTTTCACTACATCGAGAAGCTGTGGCTCTCCTTCTGGAACTCTAAGGCCTCTGCTAGCGACGGCCCCGCCTCTCTGCCCGCCAGGTGACCGCCTGGCAGCCCAGCTCGGCTGGGTCACAGCCCTCCGCAGGCTTAATCCCCAAGCTGTCCGCTGCTGACACCCGCATGTGACCACAAGCAAGGGTAGCAACTCTCCAAGAAGCAGGGCACAGCGCCCCCCTCTGTCCCTGTTGTTCTTGGACTTGGTAGAGTCGCTCTGTGACGCATGTCCCATGTGCCCCTTTCCTGATCAGACAGTTTGAACACGGGGGATTTTAGAGGTAACCATGATGCAATCCCAAGTAGAAGTGACCTCAGCTCTTCGCTACAGGGAGACGCCTCATGTTAGCCATGGGCGGGGCAGGGGACGCCGTGGATCCCCATGAAACATAGAGGCGCCAGGAGTGCGGCAGCCTAGGAGCAGCATGGAGCAGGGCAGGCAGGGCTCACACCCGCCACCAGCCCACCCCCACCCCCGCTGTCGCGTCCGCATCTCGGCTCTCCGGTCATTCCGGTGGCTGAGTGCACCACCCAGGCCCCACCCGGCTCACCGTCCCCTCCCTCCCTCCACAGTGACGAGGAGCCCGAAGGCGCCATCCTGCCCAAGGACAAGCTCATCTCTCTGTGCAAACACGACCCCATCCTCAAGTGGATGCGGAGCTGCGACCACATCCTGTACCAGGCCCTGGTGGAGATCCTCATCCCCGACGTGCTCAGGCCGGTCCCCAGTGAGTGAGCGGACCCCGTCCTCTGCTGAGCGCCGCTGTCACCTGCCTGTTCCCCCTTCCTCCCTGCGCGTCTCGGCCACCTCGGACTGCCTCTGTCACAAGGATGCAAAAGCGAGAGCAGCAGTCGGCCATCCCTCGTCCCTCGGATGTGTGTCCTCTGGCATCCGTACTCCCTTGTGTCCATCCGCGGGGAGGCTCCAGTGAGCTCTGCCCACCAAGAGCAGGCCAGGCCAGGCTAGTGCTTTCTGGAAGGTTCCTTGGGGGAATGAAAGCCAGCCTCTGGGAGTAGCCTGGGCACAGCCCCACAGCTGTCACCGCAGGGAGGCCATGGCACTGCCACTGCAGGTGCTGAGCAACGACCCTGCCTCCACCTACTCGTGCCAAGAGCTCCCCCAGTCACGACAACCACAAATGTCCCCACACACTGCCCAGTGTCCCCTGGGGGTGTGATCGCCCCTGGCAAGGCCCACCGTCCTAGACAGTGGGTAGTGACACATGCACCTCCGTCACTAATGTCCTCCCTTCTCAGTTGCCTGTGCCTGCTCAGCGGTTCTCTTTTCCTCTGTGTCACTTGTCCTCCTAGGCGGTCACTTTCATGGCATGTGCGTCGTCTCTTACAATCAGTGCTGATTTAGGGGCAGGACGCTGGCGTCCTCGCCGTTAAAGCACGATCCGTGTCTCCCAGGTACCTTGACACAGGCCATCCGGAATTTTGCCAAGAGTTTGGAAGGCTGGTTGACAAACGCCATGAGTGACTTCCCGCAGCAGGTCATCCAGACCAAGGTAACCTGGGGGCAGGGGCCGCAGGCGGCTTCCTCTCTGGCAGGAAGGGGAACAACAGAAGGTGTCATTTGATGTCATGTATTTGGGTTGATTCAGAGCATATTATTTCTGTGCTCATCACAGAAGGGGACTTTAATCTCTTTGCTGCCACCCTTGTTACTACAGTCTTGGCTGCAAATCAGAACTTGAAATGTACAGACTTGGCTTCCACACGGAAGAGAGCCATTACCAATCCCCTCCCGAGTGGCTCCTAGAGAGGCATCTGGTCTACCCGCCCACCCTCCGGAACTGATCTCAAACTTTGCCCGTGATTCTCAAACTCCACCGCGCCACCTAGGTGGCTGCTAAAACTTCGGATTCCCAGGCCACATTCCCCACAAGCCTGGAGGGCCCAGGAGGGCCCAGGAATCTGTATTCTCAGCTGCCACTCCAGAGACCCAAAGGGGTTCTAGCGGCAGGGCGTGACCACGCTGGCGCGAATTCTAACTCGCCAGCGCTGTGGCATCAGAGAGGCTGCGTGATGCGCTAGCGAGGTCACCAGCCCTCACTGGTTCTTACTCTTGGAGTCCTTAAGAATGACAGCGGGGCGCGGGGGTCCTTCTTGCCTGCTGGAGCTGCTCCTCCCTGCGTTGTCCCTGAGCCCGCCCGCCCCTCGGGGGCAGCTGGAACAGGCCTCCCCGCGGGTGCCGCCTGCTCACGGGGCCTCGCTCGCTCGCAGGTCGGTGTCGTCGGTGCCTTTGCCCAGACGCTGCGGAGGTACACGTCCCTCAATCACCTGGCGCAGGCGGCCCGGGCGGTGCTTCAGAACACGTCCCAGATCAACCAGATGCTCAGCGACCTCAACCGCGTGGACTTCGCCAACGTGCAGGTGACTTTCTCAGCGTGTGGCTCCCCAGGGCCTGGAACGGGGCCCGGGGCCCCTAGCTGCAGAGCAGAGACAACGATTGTGTGACCTCGGCCTGAATTCCAGACCCGGGTTCTCCCCTCCCCCACCAGCCTGTAGGAAACTTCTCACCCTGTAGGAAACCCAGCGAACCCACAAAGTCGAACCCCCACCCTACCCCAGCGCTCTGTCTACCTCCTCAAGGTGGGGATGAAGGGTGCTCAGCTCCCGGCTGTCAAGGCCAAGGGCAGGGAGGCTCGAGCGTGGCATGATGTCCCACCTAGACCACAGTGGGGTCCAGAGAGGGCTTGGGGGTCCCCGTGTACCCCGTCTGGGGCCCGGGCCCGTGGGGCTGACGCAGGCCCCGTCCCGAGCGCAGGAGCAGGCCTCGTGGGTGTGCCAGTGCGAGGAGAGCGTGGTGCAGCGGCTGGAGCAGGACTTCAAGCTGACCCTGCAACAGCAGAGCTCCCTGGACCAGTGGGCCAGCTGGCTGGACAACGTGGTCACGCAGGTCCTGAAGCAGCACGCGGGCAGCCCCAGCTTCCCCAAGGCCGCCCGGCAGTTCCTGCTGAAGTGGTCCTTCTACAGGTACAACCCCCCCGACCTCCCAGAGACGGTTCGGGGCGGGTGCGTGCGGGGAGCTCAGGAAGTGGTCCCACCTGCCACCCAGCCACTGAGCTGAAAGGAAAACAGGGCCCAGCAAGGCTCAGGCAGCGGCTGAACCCCCGAAAACAAGTGCTCAACTTGGGGCCTCACTCCTGGAGGGCGGCTCCCAGGGCAAGCCCAGAGGCCCACCCGTGGCCTGAAGCTCAGTCGGAAGCTTCTGCAGACAGGAGTGCTGCCCTGTGCAGACCGTGGCTTCCGGAGGGATGTCACCCAGAGAGGGAGGGGCCGTGTGTGCCGAGATTGCAGCTGTGGTTAACTCCAAAGTAAAAACAGCTCCGGTGCTATTTATTTTTTTATTTTTCATTTGTAGACAGGGTCTTGCTCTGTCACCCAGGCTGGGGTGATGGCACAGTTCACCGCAGCCTCCAACTCCAGGGCTCAAGTTCCTCCCGCCTCTCGGGGTTACTCACAGCGTGTCTCTCTTTGCTTTTCTCGTCCGCCGGCTTCTCAGTGGCCCTGTGTGGCCTCTGGGTGTGAGTGGGCAGACCTAGCTACCGATTGGTCACACCAAACTTGGGGGCATCTGGCAGGTCAGGGGACCTGGGGTTCCCAGACGAGCAGGGAGCCGTCGTGAAGCTCGGCCAAAGGCCCCGAGTTCTGTGCTCCCCCAAAAGGCCTCCCAGCCTCTGTCTGCTTGTCCCCAGCTCCATGGTGATCCGGGACCTGACCCTGCGCAGTGCCGCCAGCTTCGGCTCCTTCCACCTCATCCGCCTGCTCTACGATGAGTACATGTTCTACCTGGTGGAGCACCGCGTGGCCGAGGCCACCGGAGAGACGCCGATCGCCGTGATGGGAGAGGTGAGGCCCCTCCCGCTGCGGGACCCTGGGGCCAGGCCCGCAGGCAGCAGGCAGCGTCCTGTGGCCCCGAGAGAAAGCCTGTGCCGGTCCTGGGTGCCCTGCGCCTCGCACCGAGACCTGGCAGGCTTTCTGCCTCACCGCGGAGGCCACAGACACCGCCCAAGGGCTTCTTTTCATTGTGGTAAAAACACACATAACACAGTACACACCATTTTAAAGTGCACGATTCAGTGGCATTGAGTGCATTCACAATGTCTAACTGCCACTGCTGTCTAATTCTAGAACATTCCATCACCCCAAAAGGAAGCCCAGCCCCATCAGTAGTCAGCCCCATCTGCTCCCCGGCCCCTGGTGACCACAAATCCACGTCCTGTCTCTGGGGATTTGCCTGTCTTGGACATTTCATATAGACGGAGTCACACACTGTGTGTCCTTCTGTGTCTGGCGTCTCTCACTGAGCACGATGTCCTCAAGGTCCCTCCACGCTGTGGCCTGTGTCAGAGTCTCGTCCCTGTTCATGGCTGAGTGACATTCCAGTGCATGGATGGACCACGCTGGGTTTGTCCACTTGGGGTGTTTCAGCCTTCGGGTGTGTGCTCACACGCGTACGAGGTTGGCGTGCACGTCTGCAGGCCTGCACCCCGGAGGGCCGTGCAGGGCTGCGCGGGGCCGTGGTGAGGAGGGGTGAGGTGAGGCCTGGTGAACTCCCCACACTCCTGCCGCTCAGAGGCCACAGCGCGCTGAGGGCTGGTGACCCGGCCCCACCACCTGCCCATATCCCTGTGGGTGCTGCGCCCATGCCCCACATGGTGGGGTGGCCCAGGCCCTGGGGCAGCCCCAGGATAGTTTTCATGCCACGTGCAGACTCGGAGAGCAGGGATAGCTTGGCCTCAGCCCCCCACACCACCACTAAAATCCGGACCAGCCGCACCCCGGGGACCTTGGGTGCCCCGTCCCCTCACTGGCCTGAGCAGCTCCTGGGGCGGCCTGGGCAGGTAAGAGGGACCTGCTCAGACCCCTGGCAACGTGGAGCCCCTCCTCAGGGTAGTGCCCCAGTCGCTGCACTTCACTGAGGACGCTGCTCGGGGCATGGTTGGTAGTGTCCCTGGGACCCCCAAAGAGCAGCTGTCACCCTCTGCGGACACCCCTGACTCTCCGTTTCTCTTTCAGTTCAACGATCTCGCCTCCCTGTCGCTGACGCTGCTTGATAAAGGTGGGTGTAGCACCCCGGCCTTGGCCCATCTCGTGATAAGCAGGCGGAAACTGGGCGCCCCCTCAAGGGGAGGTCCTGGGAGCTGGCATCCAGCTGGCAGGGGACACCTGGGCAGCGGCCACATCCCAGTGATGCCCTGAGCGAGGCCCCACCATGCTGGCAGCTCCACGCCAGGCCAAGGCCAGGATGGGGCGGCCCAAGTGGGCCAGGCGGCCAGCGAGGCCCCAGCGCTGCGGGCAGCACGGCCCAGGCCAGTCGGCGGGTCAGGGGACGTCATGGTCAGAGGCTCCCTCGGCACTGGCAACCCAGGGGCACCTGTGGGCGCTGGGCGAGCCAGAGAGGACAGGCCAGCCCAGCGCAGAGGCTGCCACCCGTCCTTGAGGCCCTGGCCTGTTCGCGCCTGTGCGACTCTGAGTATTCGGTTTTTTCTCTCCCTCCCTCCCACGGCCCCTCCTCCCGACCAGCAGACGACATCAGCGACGAGCAGCGTGGCAGCGAGGCCGACCCGGGCGAGCCGCTGGTGAAGCGGGAGCGCAGCGACCCGAACCACGCCCTGCAGGGCATCTAGCACTGGCGGGCACCTTCCGAGAGGTTCCGGAAGATGTCGCCCGGCCACTCTGGGAACTGGGACTTCACTGGCCCTACTGCACGTGCCTCTCAGACAATGTGATGTTTACTCTGACTCAAGGGGGTGCCCGGGGTCAGCGCCCTTGAAGGACGAGTTCTCATTCAAGAAGAAAAAACGATGTTAACGCTGCGGTCGTTCACGTCGGGGCTCCCGCCGCCAGGGCTGTCCCCTGGGCTTCCTGAGTGCCCGGGCAGCCCGCCGGGGGCCACCCCAGACCTTCCGTTCCTTATTCGGGACAAACCCTCCTCTGCTGGAACTGTGAACTTCGCCCAGAGTCCCCAAAGGCCGTGCTAAGAGCGTCGGTACCGCCATTCAACTGGTACCGATTTTCAACATGATTTAAAAAAAAAATCTGGCAGAGCCCAGGAAGGAAGGGACACCCTGTCCCCACCTTGTCCTGCCGCTGTTGCGCAGGTACAGAGCTCGCCGGCGTCTCTGGGGTCCCCTCAGGAACGGAAAGCACAGTGCCCTTGCCCTGCCACCTCCGTCGGGGAAGAGACCCATCTCAGCAGCTCACCTCGTGGCCTTTTGTGGACAGACCGTCCTCCGCTCCCTGCCTGCCGCCTCTGCCACGCCGGGAGCCCTCCCGGCCGTGGGGCCGGATCTCTAGACGCCAAAGGACTCGCCAGAAGCAGTTGGCAATCGCAGTGTCCCTGGACACATCCGCAGCCTAAAAAAAGAACAAGCCATGGAAACGGGCCCATTCGTGCCAAGACACAGCAGTGTCTCTTAAAAACTCCAGACCGGAAGCCCTGTCAGCAACAGCAAGGAAATCGGTTCGGTCCAAGTTCACAGTCAACATCAAGCCGAGCCGCTGTTCCGGGGGTCAGCACCAACGTCCTCGCCTTCGGGGGCAGCCGGCCCTCGCGTCCGCAAACAGCAGTGCCTGCCACTGCTCCACGGAGTCTTCCAGAACACCTCCCTCTGCATCAGCCGTCCTGGAGCACTCCAGTCCCCTGCGAGTCCCACCTTGACCTCTTCCAAGTCAAAACTCTTTGGGGACAAATACCCTGAACTTTAGACACTCCGAACTTGCCTCTTCCTTGGAAACACATAGCTGGTGCACTTGGAGTCCTGCCCTGCGCCAGCTGCAAACGCGACAGTCACCCTGGGTCTAGGAAGCACCGTCTAATGAAATGCAATAGTTTCTCTTTTTGGAAAGATGTTCATACAATAGTTTTGTGCTCTAATTGTTATTAGAACGTTTTCTTATGAATGTGTATATTGCCGTATATTCAGTTCCAAGTATTTTGTTGTCGTTCACACGGAAGGTACTAATGTCAACTCACGTGGCCTTTAAAAACCTCACTTCCCAGCAAGCAGGAGCGCGGCGCATCGCTCCCCGGCACCGGGAACAGACATGCGCGCTTATTTTAGAAGCAAAAAGTCCGAATAATCACAACGCTTATCTGGTCTTTATAGTTCAAAACTCAGATGAAATCAGACAGAAAGAATGTCTTCAAAATCCCCGTCTCCTCTCCTGGGAGACAGGTACGCTCGTGGTTAACAGACTGTCACGGCCCGGCTCTCTTCCCTTTGTGGTCACCAGTGCAGACTGGGTTTCTGCCTTACGCTCCGTCACTCACGTCTCTCGGAGAAATAGAAATGACAGTGAAGTCGCTCTCGTTTTTCATAGCAATAAACACACTGAGTCTGCTCGTGTCCGGGGTCACCGTCCAGAGCCCAGCCCGTGCCCCCCGCCCCCGGCAATGCCCCTGGAGGACGCACCCTCCCTCCCGCCAGTCCCCTTTGCCCTGGGACCCCGGTGCAGCCAGGCTTGGCCACACGGACCAGCCCCGTTCACACGTGGCAGAAGAGATAGCCGCGCCCGTGGTTGGTGCAGCCCACAGCTGGTTCTCAGGGCGCCGCACGGTGGTGGCTCCACACTTCAGGGTCACTTGAGACTCGGTGCATAAGCTTGTTGAAAAGTGGCCGATTCCCAGGCCCCGTCCGCAGAGGGCCTGGCTTGGGGAGATTGGGGTAGGGGCCAGGATTGTAGGGCTGCCACTGTCCCCTCTCAGAGGACTCTGGTGCTGGGGTTATAGGACTTTGAGGAAACCCTGCAGAGGGGAGGGCTGGGCTCAGGAGCCCCGACAGCCACGGGCTGAAGCATGTACCAGAGAGGTTGGCCGTTCCCAGTCACCTGCCCCTGAAATCTGCTTCTTGGGTGCCAAGCTGGTCCCCTCCGTCCCAGGAAGAGGGCCTGGCGTCCTGGGTGACTCTAGAGTCACCCCTGACCCCCCTGGGCTGGGGACTCCTGGGCCTGGGCTTCATTTAATGCTCTGCTGTCACCATCTTAAAATTCTCAGCCCAGCCTGCGTGGGCCGCGGTCTCAGACCTCCCTCGCCCTGGGCTCCCTCCAGCTGCGGCCCTGAGCCGAATGGAGTAGCAGCGCCCCCTGAGAGCCAGGCCCCCTGTGGCCTGCAGAGTCCCAGGGCAGGAGACCCCGGCTGGGCCCCGGGGGCCTGGGAAGCCAGAGAGAGAGTGTAAGCTCCTGAGCACGGGCCAGGGTGCCCCAGCGATGGCTGCCCAAGGACAGGGGAGTCAGGCTGGCAAGTGACTCACGGCGCCCACTGGATAGGGCCCCGGGCTGCAGGTGCCTCACAAGCAAGAGGAACCTTGGTCCTTCCACATGCTTGCAGGAGGCACTAACTAGTCACAGTAGGCTCCATGCTAGAAGCTTCTCCTGTCCCATCTCCTCTTTTTAAAAATCTTTTAAGGTGGGTGTTACGTTCATTATACACATGGGAAAATGGAGGCTGCTAGCTGGAACGTGGATGTGATGGCTGGAGCGCCAGCAGCCATTTTGGACCTGGAGGTGGAAGTCTTACAACAAAGATGACAAAGCAATGAGGCAGAAGGAGCCTGGGTCCCTGGTGATATTGGAGCTGCCCAACAGCCTCCAGATGGACTGCAGAAGGGAGGGCCAGGGGGCCCCACAGGTGTCCCTGACTTCACAAACTGGTGGCAGTTTCCCACACACTCCCCCCCCCCAATGGCAGGTATGCTAAGAAGGGAGGGATGCTTTCTGGCTGAGAGCGCCCCTGTCCCCCATTTCCCCCCCACTCTGGCTGCTGCCCATCTGCCCCTGGAATCTGTCCTCTTCTCCTTCCACACCCTAGTGCCCGTGGCCTTCCCACAATGGAAGCTCCACTCCACGTGCTGCCGACTTGCTCCGTCTCTGCTCAGGGCCTCGTGGCCCCTGGTCCGCGACAGAGCGAGGCGGGAGCTGGCATCTGGCCGTCCAGACCTCCCTCGTGTCTCCATCACGGCACGGGCCCGCCATCCGTCCACCGCCCTGCCCTTCCCCGTGGCCCTTCTCCTTCCTCAAGACTCCCCTGACGCAGCCACTTCTCCCGTCCTCTCGCCACTCCCCAACTCCTCCCGGGCCAGGACAGGCAGCACGGCGGAGCGGCGGGGCCCAGACCACACAAGTTTGAGTGACAGCTCCACACTCCCTAACTGTGTCCTCAAGTAAATTACTCTCATCAGTTTTCTCATCTTGGAAAAAAAGATAAGAAAAACACCCATCTCACAGCGTTGTCGTGAGAAATAAATTATTATAAAGAAAGCACTGGAGTGAGCCTTCGATAGTTGTTCCTCCCTCTGCCCACTGCGGACAGGTGGGCCAGATCATTCCCTGGGCTGCCCCGCCCTGCAGGTGCTGAGCAGCGTCCCTGGCCTCCCCCCACCCCATGCAGGAGCACGCCCCGATCCTAACTACCAAAAATGTCCCCAGACACTGCCAGTGTCCCCTGGGAGCCGGGAGGCATCTTCCTCTTTAGCACCTAACTTTTTTTTTTTTTTTATTCCTTTATTTTTTTTTTCCATTTTCAGTTGGCCAATTAACTTTTTTTTTTTTTTTTTTATTTTTAATAGAGACGAGGTCTCGGCTCTTGCTCAGGCTGGTCTTGAACTTCTGAGCTCCAACGATCCACCCGCCTCGGCCTCCCATAACTTTTGGTTTTTAATTGGCACTTCTTCCAGGAAGGCTTCCTGAATACTCTCCGGCTAGATTAGGGTCACTTAGACACCCTGTGTCCCCTGCCACTCTTTTTTTTTTTTTTTTTTTTTTTTTGATACAGAGTCTCGCTTTGTTGCCCAGGCTAGAGTGAGTGCCGTGGCATCAGCCTAGCTCACAGCAACCTCAAACTCCTGGGCTCAAGGGATCCTCCTGCCTCAGCCTCCCGAGTAGCTGGGACTACAGGCATGCGCCACCATGCCCGGCTAATTTTTTTTTTTTATATATTAGTTGGCCAATTAATTTCTTTCTATTTATAGTAGAGACGGGGTCTCGCTCTTGCTCAGGCTGGTTTCGAACTCCTGACCTCGAGCAATCCGCCCGCCTCGGCCCCTGCCACTCTTTATAGTAACTGTTTGCAAATCTATCTTTCCCACGGGCTCTGCGGCGAGCAGCTTTCACCTGCCTCGTTCAGTGCGGACAGTGAGCGAGTGGGTGAGGTCGGCTTTGAGACACCCAGGAAGAGGCATCCCGTGTAATCCCAACTCAGTGGCTTCACGGCGACCCTGGGGAGGCAGGGAAAGCGACCCGGCACGGCGGAGAGAAAGTATCTGGGGGCTGCTGAGGAACGGCGACACTAAAACCGGAATTCCTGCAGGAGGTCACCGCTGGAGGGTTTCGGTGCAATCGAAAGCTTTAGAAAGATCTATTCTGCTAGGGCGGATTGCATAGCAAAAATCTGGAAGCAGGGAGGCCAATTAGGTGCTTGTTAAGATCATACAAGTGAGGGGGACATGGGAAGCGAGGCAGGACACTAAGGAGCCTGGTGACCCCGCGGTGGCCGAGGGGCTTAGAAAAGCAAATTGGTGGTTTATGGCCCGGTTTTTGTTGTTGTTGTTTGTTTTAATGAACCAGGATAGAACTAAAAAACATTAGGAGTGTCAATGTAATAAAGATAAACAGGACTTTGTAAAATTTTTATTTCAGTACGTGTGTGTGCACATGCGTACGTACATTGTACTGGGCTGCGAGACAGCATGCATTGGATGTCCGTATCGAAAGCCACAATACTAGAGTCGCTGTCAACCTGGTTTGAGGTCACGGCCCCGCCTAGAATCTTCTGTCGTGGGTGTCTGAGGGGTTTTGCTAACCGCCATTCATCTCGTCCCACCTCTTTTTGGAATAACACCCTGATTCTCTTTTGAGAACTGCCAGGTTTTAAATACTGTCTCCCCGTGGGTGGCTCTCACACATCCAGGGACACCGTTGCAGGCGAGGGAAGGAGGGAATGGGGGGGGTGGCTGGCGGGGAGGGGGGGTGGAGACTTCCTAGATCCTGGGGCGGAGCTGGGATTACGCTGGATGTCTCAAATGGCATCTCAAGGCAGTGGCTGGCACGTGGAGGCACCTGCTCAGTAAATACATGATGGAGGAATGAACTGCTTGGGGTGGGGGCGGGGTATTAATAACGTGCCCTGCCATGCCGGTCCCATGTGACACTTTCTCCTTAGGAGCGGAACTGCAAGCTAAGTAGTGAAACTGAAAGCCATCAAAGTTCAGGCATTCTCAGGGAGGTGCCCCGCTGGTTTTGCTCAACAGGTTCCCACGCCCAAGACCCTCCAGAGCTGCCAGTTTCTTCTCCTTTCCCTCTGATCTCATGGGCGTCCTTGTAACTTTCCAGTAAATTCCACCATGGCATACTGGTGCCAGAGATGTAGTCTGAGGATTGCAACGAGTCTCCAAACTGATACGCCCTCAGTACCCACCAGTTTTGCAGCCATGCTCAGAACCCCGTGAAGCCCTCCTGAGCCCCGGGCAAGGGCAGCGTCAGCCTGGAGTGTCACTCGACTGAGACTTCCGACCTCTGCCTGCAGGACCTGGCTGGTGGACCACGCCAGATCCGGGACGGATGCCAAGCCTTGGAGTCCTAGTAAGAGTAGCTACTCAGAATAAAAGGGACGTCTCCCCACCCCCTGCACCCCGCCAAGTTTTGAAGTCATCCCAGCCCTCTGCTGCCCCCCAGTGGTCACTGTGTGACACTGCCTCTTCCTTTTTGCTGGCAACGCTGCAAGCCTGGGTTTTGCCTAGAAAGCGTGCAGGATGGGAAGAAGAGAAGGAGCTAGCTTCCTTCCTACCCCTCCCCTCCTGCTCCTTCTCTTTCTCGGATGCTCTCTGCTTGTTTTCATAGACTCAAAGAATCTCCCGTGAGATGTTCGGTAATTACAAGGGGAAAAGTAGATCCCTGGTAGACACCATCTAAACCAAGCGATCTAAGTTATACCAGCAATAATGGCACAAATCGTCACCATGTGCCTCGGGATACGCTGAGAAGGACGCACATGACTTCTGTGTAATTCCTGCCCCAAATGCATGACCTGGCCGGGCGAGGTGGCTCACGCCTGTAATACCAGCACTTTGGGAGGCCGAGACAGGAGGATCGCTTGAGGTCAGGAGTTCGAGACCAGCCTCAGCAAGAGCAAGACACCCCCCCCTCAACTTCCTGGGGAGTCACACTTACACGCCTTGTGTCAGGGGTCCCCAACATCACGGGTGAAGTGCCGCTCTTAATTGCACGGGACATCGCGCTGTCAGGAACTTGACCCCGTGGACTAAGAGAGGACAGCAAAGGGTGATGAGCAAAAAAGGCCACCATGATGTCCCCACCTGACTCTGGGCAACACTTGACCTCAGCGTGGGCTCCACGCAGGGCACGTGCTGCACACACGGGCTCCCTGCCTGTGACGGGAAGAGGAGCATTGTATTAGAGCTGTGGAGGCCCTTTTCCCTGGAGCCCAGCTGCAGAAGCCACTGTCCTGTCCTTGGCTGCAGAGGAGGGAAGACCGTGGTCCTCAGAGCTCAGCCTGGGCTTAGGGAGTCCTCTGAGACCTGAACCCTGGGGAGCCAAGGAGGATGTTGGTAGCAGGAGTAGCAATGAGCAGTTTAGAGCAAGTCATTTGAATCCCTCCCATTTCCTGCTTCCAACCCTTGCAATCAGGAAAAAGACCCAACTCCTCGCTGAGGTCCTTCCCTGACCTCCTTTCCTCCACCTCTCCCTTTGGTCACTTTGCTCTAGCCACATGGAGCTCCTCACTGTCCCTCTGGCACACCACGCTGGTTCCTGCCTCAGGACCTTTGCACTTGCTGTTGTGGCTAGAATGCTTCTCCTGCAGATCTACTAAAATGTCACCTCCTCAGAGGGGACTTCCCAACAAACTAACATAAAGTAGCCCCTCTTTCTGTCCTGGTTTCACCATACACTGTTTTGTTGTAGAGCTGTCAGTATCTCCTTAGTCTCCCCATAAAAGGACACAATGTTCCATGAAGGCAGGGTCTGTCTTGTTCATCCTGGGAACCCAGCGTGCAGAATGGTGCCCGACACACGGTAGGTGTTGTGGCTATACACTGCTGCGTAACAAATATCCCCGAAATGCAGTAGCGGCTTCTGTCAGCAACTATCGTTTGTATTTCATGGTTTCTGTGGGTGAGGAATGGGAAGGGCTAGGCTGGGTGGTTGTTTCTCAGAACTCAGGGTCTCTCATCCAGCCATAGTCAGTGGCTGCAGCGGGAAGTTGGGGGTTGGCTGGGCATCCGTTGCTCAGGACGGTGCTGTCAGCCTCCTCACAGCATGACAGCCTCAGAGCCCCTGGGCCACTCGCCTGATGGCCAACAGCTTTCAGAGCAATTGTTCCGGCAAAGCAGGGGCAGGCTGCATTGCTGCTGTATAGCTGCCTTGTAACCCAGCCTTGTAAGTCACGCAGTGCCACCGTCTCTGTTGATGAACAAGCCCACCGCCCACATTCAAGGGAAGGAAACAGAGCCCTCCCCTCTTGTTGGAAAGAGAGTCAAAGAATTTGGGCCCAAATGTTAAAGCCACCATAGTCGATAATCAACAAATATTTGTTTAAATGGTTGGTGACTAAGTTAATTTGTTAGAGGACACCAAATAGAGAAAGCAATGGCCCGAGGGGCTCAGGGCTGGCCGCCATCGACACTAAGAATTGTGAAACCAGTGGAAATTCAGTTGGCTCATTAGGCTGATAGGTTTTGCATCTTTTGGTGTCCCTTTGAAAAGCCACAACTGGATTATATTTAGCAAGTGACGACATGTTGCCGGGAGTTTCCCGAAGTCTGGGATGAATGTGGTGTATGACATGACTTCAGGCGACATGTAGACATGGCATTAAATGACACCAAATCACGCAGATTATAGTCAGCCCGTCTTCAATTCTTTCACTCCTTCTCATCAAGTTAAGTACAAAGTTTCCGTTGAGCGATAATAGGCCTATAATAACCGTCTAATACTTTGCTAATTTCCCTTTACATCAAAGAAAAGGCAAGCTTGGGCTTAGCACCTTGGCAGGCAACAGTAACCACTAAGAATTTAAAGACATTGTTTGGTTTTCATGTTTACTTTTACAACGATCTATCCACAGCATAGTGGTTTCCTATTTTAAGGGGTGATATAAAATATCTATTTAATGTAAACTTCAACCAAAAGAAAAGCATTAAGTTCATTCAAAGTCAGAGGGTTCAGAGAGATGGCAAAGGCTGAGATGACCCACCCACAAGAAGTTTGAACAGAGTGAAACTAACAAGCAGGAACGAGAAGGATGGAGTCCTACACACTGTGGGTGCCCAGGTGGACTGACATTCTAGCTATTTCCAGAGAATTTATTCTTTTTTTTTTAGACAGTCTTGCTCTGTTGCCTGGGCTAGAGTGCTGTGGCGTCAGCCTAGCTCACAGCAACCTCAAACTCCTGGGCTCAAGGGATCCTCTTGCCTCAGCCTCCCAAGTAGCTGGGACTACAGGCATGCGCCACCATGCCCGGCTCATTTTTTGTATATATTTTCAGTTGGCCAATTAATTTCTTTCTATTTTTAGTAGAGACAAGGTCTCGCTCTTGCTCAGGCTGGTTTCGAACTCTTGACCTTGAGCAATCCATCCAACTCGGCCTCTCAGAGTGCTAGGATTACAGGTGTGAGCCACCAAGCCTGGTCTTTCCTTTTTTATTTTGAGACAGAGTCTTGATCTGTTGCCTGGGCTAGAGTGCCATGGCGTCAGCCTAGCACACAGCACCTCAAACTCCTGGACTCAAGTGATCCTCCTGCCTCAGCCTCCCAAGTAGCTGAGACTATAGGCATGTGCCACCATGCCCAGCTAATTTTTTTCTACATATTTTTAGTTATCCGGCTAATTTCTTTCTATTTTTAGTAGAGATGGGGGTCTCACTCTTGCTCAGGCTGGTCTCGAACTCCTGCCTCGGCCTCCCAGAGTGTTAGGATTACAGGCGTGAGCCACCGTGCCTGGCCAATTCCCAGAGAATTTCTAACTCAAGTTCTGTGGCTTATGCCTGGAGCCTGCTGGCAGAATATTGAGTATTGGGGATATACCGAATACTGTTAAACGGTATTCAATATACCCCATCCCCCAATAAACTACATATACACATATGCATACAGTCATACTAAGATATGCATTCCCCTGCAGAGAAGCAGTTGTTAAACATTTGCCATACCCCTCTGGTTGCACAGATAAGTATAGGATAACCATGTAAATATATGTGTCCTAGATTAGGGGTTGGCAAACTTTTTCTGTAAAGACACAAATAGTAAATACTTTTTTTGGCCACACAGTCTCTGTTAAATGGACTCAGTTCTGCTGTTATAGCTCCAAAGCGGCCATGGACAACATATGAGTAAGTGTGACTGTTTTCAAATAAAACTTTATATATGGAGACTGAAATTTAAATTTCATACAATTTTCATGTCAGGAGATACTATTCCTCTTTTGATATTTTTTTCCCCAACCAGTTAAAAAAAAAAAAAAAACACTCTCGGCTCATAGACCAGATTTGGGCCACAGGTTATAGGACTTGCTCCACCGCCTTCTAGAAGGGGCAGAGCTGGGACTCGAACCTAACATCAGGCCTGGAATACAAAGTCCCAAGCAGAGGGATCAACAAGTGCAAAGACCCTGAGGCTGGGGTGAGTTTGCTGGGCTCCAGGGACAGAAAGGCCCCTGTGGCTGAGACGCAAGGAGCCACACGGGGTGAACGAGGCCGCCCGTAAGAGCCAAGAACAGTGGGCTTAGTACTCCTGAATAAGAGGTTTAGAATTTATTCCAAGTTCAGCTTCCCTTTGGGAGCACTGGGGATGGATGGATGTGCCCTTGATATTTATATCTTTAGCTTATAGTTTTAAAAGATTCCTCGTCCTGTAGAGTTTGGAGCCTGGAGCTCAGCAAGAATGAAATGAAGGATGGCAGAGAGGAGGCTGTCCAGTCGTCCAGGAGGGAGATGAGGATAATGTGGCCTAGGGTGGTGACAGGCAGGCTGGTAAGAACAGGGGGATACGGACTATATTTTGGAAGTGAGGCCAAGCCCACATGATTTGCTCAGGGATTCGTCGCAGGGGAGTAGAGAATGACTCCAGGAGGCCCAATATCCTCCTATGAGCCTTGTGAGGTCGATGGTCCCATTTTACAGATGGAGAACCTTGAGGCCCAGGAGGTCCTCTAGCCTCCCATAAGCCTTGAGGTTGATTGATGGTCCCATTTTACAGATGGAGAACCTTGAGGCCCAGGAGGTCCTCTAGCCTCCCATAAGCCTTGAGGTTGATTGATGGTCCCTTTGTACAGATGGAGAACCTTGAGGCCCAGCGCGATGATAGGAGCGTCGTGGGTCTGGCGGTGCCGGGGTTCCCACTGTCGTGGCTCAGAGAGGTCAAGTCCCTCGCGCCGGCTCCCCCGGCCAACACCTGCGACCGAGGCTGCGCCCCTCCTCACACCTGGCCGTGCCACCCCCACCCCCACCCAGGCCAGTGCTCTTCGACCTCTGAGCTTTGCTTCCCCGCCCCCCACGCAGCCACCCCGCGCCCTCCCGCCACCTCCACGCGCGGCCTCAGAAAGGCGTTTGCCAACGGCGCTGGCTCCCGGGGCAGGGAAACTGAGGCATGAGGTGGCAGGCTTCCCGTCTGCGCGTGTGGAAAGCCCCCGCGGCCCCAGGGATCGACCTGGAGGAAGGCCTCGGCTCGATGGCTCACTCTGCCACCGCTGGGGACCCCCGGAAAACAAGTGGGAACGCAGGGGCGTCAAGACCAGGCTCGCTCCGAGCAGCCACACAGAACCCTCACCCGGGCTGCGGCGCCAGCTATGCGCGCGCCGCTACTGCGCACGCGCCCTGCCCGGCCCGGCCCACGCCCCTCGGTCGGCGGGAAAAAGAGGCGGAGGGCGGTTAGTGCGCAGGCGCGTGCTCAGAGCGCGGCCAGGCGGGGAAGGCCATCGAAACCCGACTCCGCGCGGGGCTCAGCGCGCATGCGCAAAGCTGTCCGCCTCGCACGGCGTCGGCTTGTTAGGTGCGCACGCGCGGGAGTTTCTGGCAGAAAGCAGGCGAGCCCGGGCCGGCGCGGGGCCTTGTGGGAGGGCTCAAGGAAGTAAAATGGCGGACCTGGCGAACGAAGGTAGGGGAGGCGCCGTCGGGGGCCAGCTGGCGGCCGGGGAACGGGCGGCGGGGGTCCACGGGCCACAGGCCTGAGGGGGGAGCGCCGCGGAGTGCGGGAGTCCCGTCCGCTCTGGGGTAGCGGCCCAGCGGGACCCGCAGCCGCCCCCCATTGCTTCCCCTCAGGCCAGGCTCACCGGCCCGACCCATCACTCTCGGCAGCCCCGGCCCCTGCCACAGTCCGGCCAGAGGAGCCGGGAGGCCGCTGGGGTCGCAGCCTCGAGGCCCTTCCGCTTCGCGGGTCAGACCCCGGGCTGAAGGGGACGGGAGACGCGGCCTCAGAGCCCGGGCCTCGGATGTAAATAGACCTTGGGGCCTGGTGGTGGGCCCGAGCGCGCCACGCTCCCTCCCCGCCCCCTCGGCCTCGGGGACCGGCTTCTCCTCTTTTCCGGCTCGGCTGCCCATCCCCTAATCCCGTGAGGTCCTCGTCCTCCGCGGGCCGGCCCCACGCCGAGGACGGGAAGCCCAGGCGGTTTTCACCCATTCTCTGCCCAGAACTCAGCCCGTAGTCCTCCCAGATCCTTTGGGGCGCCTTGTCTCCCCTGATTCAGGCCCAGCCACAGCATCTGGGCCGCGGAAAGCTCTAGCTGCTTCCCCCCCCCCTTTTTTTTTTGGCTGCCCGTCCAGAGAGAGACTGGATGATTTCCTTCTCTGTGGAGCGCTGACATCCCACTTGAGCGATTTTTGACAAGGTTACACTTCCAAATCCCCCAGAGGAAGCACCCGCAAGGTTGATGTCAGTCGTGTTGCTATCGCTGTAGCTTCAGGACTTCCGAGGCCTATTTTTAACTCCCTCCTTTTCTCGGTGCACTACTGTAAGCAGGCTCTCCACCTGTCTGGCCCTACCTCCCCATACCATGCCGCCTTTATTGGAGGGTGTCTTGAGGTTTTCCTACCGAATTGCAGTAATGAATGAATGATGATAGTAAGTGCTCAGCCTTGTAGGGCATTTGGGATGACCCCAGGTGCCTTTCAACATCTTGATGTACTGTTATCTCGAGTAATACTCCTCACAAAAGCTCTATGAGGCACAGATACTGTTAGCCCCATTCTCTTGGTGAGGAAACTGAGTTAGAGTGGGTAAGTTATTTACCCAAGGCAGGACACGCAGCTTGTAAAGAATAGAGATGTGAATCAAGGTGATCTGGCTTGAGAGCCCCCCCCCATTCTTGGCTATTTTAAGCTGCACCTTTTAGAAGGTAAAAGAGCCCATGCCAGGTTGAGGCATTCCACCCCATGAGGTCCATTCAAAGGCAGGAAAGGGACTATATAAAGGGGAATCAACGTGACATACTTGATATATTTACATCTGGAGCCCATATAGTTTCTTGAACTCAGGGCTCATATGTGCAACATCGTATTTAACATCTCCATGTGGATGTTTCAGACACATCTAACAGCACATCCAAAACAAAATTCTTATCCTCTTCCCCTCCCCCCCTCCATCCCCCACCAAAACCTGCACATCTCAGTCTTTCTCCCACTGTGGTAAACGGCAAGTCCATTCTTTGACTTGCTCAGGCCCAAGACCTTGAAGTCACCCCAGACTCCCCTCTGTCTCTCATACCCCACAGTAAATTCTGCCAGTTCTACCCTAACAGTGTTTCCAGAGTGTGACCACTTCTCTCCACCACTTGGACCTCCCCTTTCCACCCCCCTTACCCATCTGAAAATTTCTCAACCCAGAAGCCAGAGTGGACCCCCGACTCCCCCCTGTCCTGTCTCACTGCTCCCTCACTAGCTCTGCTCTAACCCCCCTTGGCACTCTCTTGTGGTCCACACACTTCCTCCTCTTAGCCTTTTTTCTGCTGGTTCTTCTGACTAAAACCATTTTCCCCCAGATAATAATTCGCTCCTTCTTACTTATATGTTATTTTATTACTGAGAACTTCTCTGGCCACCATCTTAAGTGATACCCACGTTCCTTATTCCCTTTACCCCACTTGTCACTATCCAAGCACACTAGATTTCACTTGTTGGTTTGACTGCCCCTCCACTAGAATATAAGCTCCATAAGGGCAGGCGTGCCTGGCACAGAGTAGAAATCCAAGAAACTCTAGCTGAATGAATGAGTTCATCAGTGAGGACCCTGTTGTGAGAGACACATTGAGCACACAGGGGAAATTATGCATTGCTGTTTTCTAGGGGGCACTGTTTCTAGCATATGCTGGGCACATGAGCTGTCCATTGTAAATGGCATAGTTGAACCAAAAAGTGTCAGAGAAATGGAGTGTTTGGTACTTCAAATTTTTCCCTAATAAGTGCCTCCCTCACCTAGCATTTTGCCTCTGACGATCTTAATGGATAACTTTGTGCCTCAGATATCCCCGCCATCCTCTAATCAGTGGCTGTGTGTTTCTTGAAGACTCCCATTTCTGGTTTGGCTTTCATTCTGCTAGAGTGTTTAATGTCTTACTCACTATGTAAAGGGGGACTTCTTTGCCTATGCATTTTGAAGCTTTAGGGACTGCTGCATAGACATGTTTTTTCTCTTGCTGTGTAAACTCCAGTCAAATGCCCTCTTGGCTTCTGCTTTTCCAGGCTAGGATCCTAAGTTGCACCATCCTCACAGCTCCTCCATTCACTGTCTGTCTTCTCTGGGCCAGTCCCACCTCTGTCAGTCTGAGCAGTGGCCGTCCTGATACCATCTGGCTGGGCATCAGTATCACATGGGGAGCTTTCTGAAAACCACAGATACTCAGTCCCCACACCTTGCGGATTCTGTGAGGTGTTGCTTGGGTCCTGGGCGTCTGAACAGTTAGCAGCACAGACAGCTCTGGCATGCAGCCGGAGTTGAGGCCCACTGGTTTGAGTAGTACAGGTTAGGTGTGCCGTGCTCACGCACAAGGACATGTTTTCAGTTGTGTATCCAGTACAGCATCCTGTTGCCATGGTGATCCACTCGTGGATGGTGACATCAACTCCCACGGCCCTTTCGTGGTAGTCCGTGTCTGTTAAAGTCCAGTTGGACCTCTCTCCTGGGAAAGTGTGTGTGCATGTCTTACGCTGTCCAGGGATAGTCTCCCCTGCTTGGCATTTCGCTGTTCATACCTCCCCAGCTCATTAATCATCCTGTCTCTGGAGTTGTTTTGCTTTATAGACGGACATCATGATTTGAAGGCAGAGTTTGTCCCTGGGAAAGATAAAGAAGAATGGGGAGAAGGTATGCAAAGAATATTTGAACTATAGGACATCTTGGAGTCTAGATCCCAGCGTTAGAAGATATCATATAAATTCCTTTCTGGCCTGTGGACATACATGTTGGAAACTCAGGAAACGGTAGGAAGTAGGTTCTCAGCTTTGAGACAGTTGACGTTTTGAGCTGGATAATTCCGTGTCCTGTGCATTGTAAGATGTTTGGCAAAGAAAGCATCTGAATAGTGCAGGTGGCCATGCCCCACTCGGAGATGACCCTGGACTGAGCCCGTGATGGCAGACCACCAGGCGCTGGGCTTTCCATCCTCCTGAGTTCAGTCCTGCCTGTCCTTGAGTGATCACCCAGCCCAAGGTTTCTCGAGCTCAGCACTGTAGACCTTGGGGACCAGATAATTCTCTGCAATGGGGGACTGCCCTGCATTGTAGGGATTTGATCAGTCTCCCTGGCCTCTAAGACCCACTAGATACCAATGATACCACCTTTCTACCCCCACCCTCCAGTCATGACAACTGAAATGTCTCCAGACATTGCCAATACCCCCTGGGGGCAAAATTGTCTCCAATTGAGAACCACTAATCTATGAGCCTGACCGAGTGTGAGTAGAGAGATTTTCAAGGGTAGTTTGACTTTTCAGTTTGGACCTTACTTGTTGACTTAAAACCTAAACCAAGACGATGAGATGCAACTGAATTTTTATTGATTAGCTAGAACTTAGTTGGACTCCTCATTTCACACGATTCTCACCGCCCCCTTCCCCTGCCCTAAACTTTAGGATAAGGGAGAAATAGCTGTTTGAACATTCTCATGAATTTATGATGAGAATTAACCCTGGGATTTGTCCTGAGGTCGGAATGTATCTTTCCCCTTGCGTGTGCCTCCTGTGTCTGTGGCAGGGGGAGCCTGAGGGGTGACGTGATGACTCAGAGGCTGCGGAGTCTCTATACACTTTGAAAAAGTTTAAGTTTTGCCCAGGATGCTGTGTAGACACAGAAGGGCTTACAGTTCTGCAGAGCATTTCAACCAAGTCTTCAGCCTGCCCCAGTTAGCTGGGAAATGGAATCTTCCCTGCACTCGTGTTGCCCTTGTGCATTGCCTGGGTGTTAGGGTCTGTCGGGATCTGGTGTGTGCTACTACTCTGAGGTCGTTGGAGTGAGTGGAGGCCACTGGAATTGGGTGAGGGTAGAGTAGGTGAGCTGAGACTGGCATTTGGGGGAAGCACAGTATTGGGGGGTGAGGAAGGGGGCATTTTAGGTAAGGGTTGAATTCCAGCCTCGTAAGTGAGTTCAGACTTATTCTATAGAGAGACTAGGCTGGGGTGTAGTGGGAGATGGGGGCATTTAGGGAGGGGTGGGGTGCCCTTTGGGGATCTGAGAGGAGAGCACCATTTATGAAAACAGCAAGAGACAGGCCAGACCCGCAGAGATGGCTGGTACTGGCTTGGCCGGGCCTTGGTAGCTCTCCATGGTACTTTGAAGCAATCACAAAGCACAGGGATTTGTGGGCTATCGATATCTATTTGGGGCCTAGTGGTGGTGGCAGGGCAGCAAGGTTTCTTTCTTTTGTATTAGGAGGAGTTGTGGTCCAGGTGAAGTACTGTGTGACTCCATAGAGAAGGATAGGGCATGGGACCTCAGGGTAAACCCCCCGTCCCCCGCCCCCCAGCATGTCTGCAGGGTAGTCTTGTCACTTAATGCTTGGCATAGCACTCACTGTGACTCTCAACACCCATTGCACTTCACCCTTATTTAAGGAGGTTGATGAGGAAAATAAAAGCCACTGCTGCACCATTGGAGATGGTTCCAGGA